TTCAATAATTGCCCATGTAATCTCGTGTCGGACATGCAGCAATAAATAAATAATTTGTCGACAACACACAAAACAAGTCGCTGCTGCTTTTGCTGCTGCATCTGACACGAACATGGCCAGACGCAGAGGAGAAAGAAACCTCGAAATGAAACATGAATATGCTTGGTTACGAAACGAAAGAAGAAGAAAAATAATATAATAAATCAATTTTATCAACGCAGAAACATGGTCTCGCATTGTAAATAAAATTACTAATTAACAAGCAATTAAACGAGGCTCCTGTTTCTACGTAAGCGGCGCCAAGTGGTTTATTCATTGCTTCTCCATCTTATTTTTTACTACATTAATTGTTTATTAATATGCAGAGGTCACTGTGTATAATCACCACATTTTTATCGCAGAGGTTAAAATAAAATGCAATTGCATCAAATAGAAAGAAAAAAACACATCTCGCTTCTAGTAGCAAGAAGGAGTTCGGTTTACTGACGTAATCGACGGTTTTCGGTCGAAATGCCTTAATCCCGGGAGATCATAAGGTCAAAGTCCCATTCATTAATGAATTACTCAAAGTTGAATAATACGTGCACTATCACGTTAGTCCACTCTCTTTCTCTCTATCATTTTGTTTTTATTCTCCCTTTTCACATTCAAATCGGTAGTAATTCGCTTTGAAAATATCGATTCAGATAATAATGGAATAATGGAATTACGCACAGCTCCGAGAGTTTCGTAATTATTTAATGCACGAGGGGCAATGGAAAAGAAAATTCAATTAGCCTCCGACGAATTAACCGAACACGATTCAATTTCGTCGGTTCTAAAGCGAAATTATATAACGTCGAGAATTTTATTATTTTTTTTATAAAAAAAATAAACGGAAAATTGCGTTTCGACACTCTGGTAAATCTAATAACTATATTTTGCTACCGCCGCACGACTGTTGTAAAGGATGTAATCGAAATTGTTTAAATATAAATAAAGTGAAAGGCAATTTAGAGCTGTATATAAACATTTTTTGAACAAAGACCGCAACCAATCTAAATAACATTGTAATTTCTGTAACACTGACTAATTTCACAAAACATAAACATGACTTCATTGTTTTTTTTTTAATTTTAATTATGTAACTATTATTGGTTTTTTTGTGGTGAATTATTGTCTGTTATGATGGTCGTGGGGACACGTAAAAGCGCATATGAATGCAGCTTATTACACTATAAATTAATTAATCTAATAATAGCAGGTGGCGGCTCGAACGACTAAAGGAGACGTGGCCCCATGCTAATAAACTCAGCCAAGTTGAATTTCCGCTTCCCGTTTACGGCTTGGTATGCCAGCTTTTTACCCACTCAGATTATTATTTAATGCATACTCATGTACCAACATCAAATTCCCCAATTGTACTGTAAAAAGATACGAAAATTCTTCAAGATCTTCATTAATCTCGAATTCAAAGAATCTGTGAACTCTGAACAAAATATTTATTGACAAATAGTCAATTTCTTCAAAACAATTTTCTTTTTATATGATGTGAAATGACAGCAGTCGCATTGCATCAAAATTTTATTTATATTATTAATAATTGGATACCGACTAAGATTAATATTTACATCAAATTCCTTACAAAAATGATAAAAAAAAATATTCAAGTTCGCATTAGAAAATTATTTATTGACAAATATTCAATTTGTACCCATTTGTACAAAATGACAAATGTCACCTTGTGTCAAAGCGTCAATTTTATATTATTAATAATTAGGTCGCAATTGTACTAAATATGTTAGATCGCGAGACAAAAAGGTGGAGCAACGATGATTTTAAGAAGATTTTTTTCTACCAAAATTATTTGCTTTATTAAGCAAAAATGAAAAAATATTTTTATTTAAGGACAATAATTTCATAAATTCAAGTTTACTAAATATATATAGAGAAATTTATACAATACTCGATTTGCTTAAATGATTCATTGTAAACATTAAGGACATTCACATTTCTTAATATTTAAAGAGGATGTTGATTACACATACAAAAGTATTGCAAATTTATATTTAAACCAAAGTATTGCCATGAGCAAAATAGTATTTTTTTAATTAAAAAGAATGTTACGATTTCAAATTTTAAAAGAAACTAGGAATCTATAATCCTAATAATAAATATGTTTATTTTTAGTACAAGATAATGTGTTTGTCCATATATTCGATAAACTATTCTAATTATGAATTACCATCAGTGCAACATCAAAAATTCATAAAAATTTGAAATGTAATGGGATGTCATTTTACTAATTTATTAAGCTTTTTGATTCGACATGATGTTATATTTACACAAAACTATAGATTCATTACATTCAAGATCATGTGTTTGTCCATATATTCCATAAACTATTCTAATTATAAATTACCATCAGTACAGCATAAAAAATTAGAAATGTAATGAGATGTCATTTTACTAAATTATTAAACTTTTTAATCGACAAGATGTTATATTGACACAAAACTATAGATTCATTACATTCAAGATCACGCGTTTGTTCATATATTCGATAAAGTTTTCTATTTATGAATTACCATCACCACAACATCAAAAATTAGAAATGTAACGAGATGTCATTTTACTAATTTATTAAGCTTATTATAGACATGATGTTATATATATAGATTCATAACATTCTAAAAGTGTTTCTTTTTAAAGATTACAACTTCAAGTTCATAAACGATTTGTAGCGACTAGAAATAGAATAAAAAATAAATATTTGTACAATAATTATTATACATATTTAATTTTCTTGATAAAGCAGCATTTCAAAGCATTTGATAAATATAAAGTTATTGCTTTCTGAAGCTTAAAATATATTCATTGATTCTCAACATAATTAATAAGTGAAATGCGATACTTCGAACTGAACTGTACATAATCGATATTGGAGATGTCATCAAAGGAAAGAAGGAGAAAAATGAATCGCGATGATTCAAAATAAAAAGTGGGTTTCTGTGCTAAAAGTTGCAATTGATATTTACGATTCAGGTGTTTCATGGCGGCATAAATTTCGCGGCGCCCCGGCTTAAACAACAAATACAACATAAAATGAACATTAAAACGAAAACAACCGCGGATGAGAGACCGAAATAACGGAGAGATCTCGGAACAGTTGGCAGCTGGACAGCAATGGAAAGGAACAACCAGAATTTACAAATTCATCAAACGGATTCATATAAGTTTTATTTTACTTCTCACTCTTTTATTCTCTCGAAATTTCAAGTGTTACTAGTCGGGACAATAATATTAAGATTTCCAATTAAATTTAGCCCGAGGTTTGTTTTCCTCTCCGCGCGGAAATTTATCAATCGCCTCGGACGAGAGGAGAGTATTTACCTTTTCCGGCTGGTTACAACAATAAATCTCAGGTGCTTCTCTTTGTTGCCGCTCCGCGGACCGAGACCGTCGCTCATCCAAATACACGCGGCCAGACAAAATGAAAAGAAAAAAAATGCCCCTCCAGGTTTACATAATTTCGTAACGAACGTAATAAAAACAGAAACGAAAGCCCTCCAGGTGCCGGAAACTGGGCACCATTACGAAGCAGAAGGGTGGTCCCCGGTCGTACGCACGTAAACCCCTTTGTCAGGGATTACGTAATCCCCGAATTATACGGAAAGAAAACCGTAAGGAATAGCAATAATAATCAGATATGAAAAAAAATATATATAAATATATAAGAGTTTACAAGAAAGGTCATGTGGGTGTTTGGGGTAATTGAGATTCAAATTGGATGGGATTAAAATCTGTAATTTGATCACGACGACAAAAAAAAATATGCTTTTGCCAGAACGTAATGCGACACGCATTCATTTTATGGAAATTTCCCGAAGCAAATAAACATGGAAATAATAATAATACCGCTTTTATCTAGTCTTCGTACTGCGGACCGTGTAAAATTAGTGCGGCGGCTTGACAACCATCTGCTGTTATTTGGTAGCATGTGCGGAAGATATGGATCGCGGGTGTTCGTAAATAACGATCTTCAACAATCCAGAATTTAATTACAGTGTAATACTAACATTGATTCCTCGTTATTAGACTTAGAATCTAGGATGGCATCTGCTGGATGGAGGTGTTTTTTTTCATTTTCATTCTGAATTTTGCATTTTCAGAAATTGCTTTCCCCAATGCACCGAGACTTTCGAGATCGTGGAAAAACTGTGGAAGAGGAAAGCCGACATCTGCTCTTAAGGACCATGTGCAGAATATACGAGTGTCTTTATTATATGTATACACACACACATAATTCCCTTAATGAAATAAACAAAGCTGACGATGATGGAACGGCTTTGCTGAAGAGAAAATAGGCGCAGACACCTACGTTTTGCTAGACTTTCTCCGGCCAAACGTTTATGAATCGAATCTTCAAATTGTCGATCGCGTTTTCGTACAATAAAAGTAATTAGACTCAGAGAAAATGTCGTAATCAATGATCGATTGTAAAAAAAAAGGAGAGATAGAGGAGAAAATATATTTATATATATATAAAAAAGGAACAACTGAAGTGAGTGATTTAAAAAGCCACAAAGTGAACGTTTCCTTAAACAGGCAGGTGAATAAATTATAAAAGTAAAAGTCCCAATAAAAATACCTAAATCGGTAACCGATGAAAACGAATGAGGCGAAATAAAAAAAGGCTACGCACAGACACATGATAATAATGTATTGAGCAGAAGTCTCTTTCTTCATCTCCGAGAACCGGATGTTTCCTAACAGCACAGCACCCAAAAGGAAGGAAAAACGCGGTGCAACGAACCTTAATTAACACCAACACCAGAAGAAGAAAAAAAAAACGCGTCCAATAAATTATTTTAACTCAGCAGCTAGCAGGAAGGAAACAAGAGGAAGAGAAGAAAAAAACTTTCTCTCTCCCTTCGTAACGATAATTTCACTGCACGGCACACTTTAACTACGATATTTGAAATTGCAAATATTTGTAGAGCAAATTTGCGACGACTCACCTGACTCTGTAGAAACGTCTTCGAATATTCGCCATCATCAGCCATTTGTACCTGCAACAAAACAAAAACGTTTTAGATTCAATTCGATAATCTTCATATGGTAACAAAAAAAATACATTAGCATCGAGACCTTAAACAGAACGTCAAATATTAAAGTAAAATAAAAACGGACGAGGAAAAACATCGAACGTTTTAATTACTAGCATGTCCTAAGATTGCGCAACGCGATTCACAATGGAAGACGGTTCATCGCATCAATCATCGACTCTTTTGCTTTTGGAAACTTTGTTTGTTTTCGTCGGTAACGGCGCGGACTGATGTATCCTGGTTCAATGAAGCAATCAACGCGACTTTCAAAGGAAATCGAAATTAATTGTATTTAAATGCGGAATACGTAATTCCGATAGGTCAATCATGTAATTTACACAATAATTACAATTAACCTTTTAACGATGAAAGCAGCGATTGATATTCTTTCGTCCACAGGAATTAATCAAACGTTTTTTTTTAAGACCCACAAAATATGAAAGAAAATAAAAAAAAACTTTCAACAGCTTCGATCAACGAGAAACCTGATGACGCTAATTGTTTGAGACATAAATAAAGACGCATTGAAATATCCCGAATTGTTTGGAGGAATTGCATGTAGGTAAGAGTCGAGATGCTTGGAAGCCACGGCATTCTCATGGCTAGGATAATTAGTCAGTTTGTACGCGTACCGTTACCTCTGTTATTCTCACTTTTTAGTGTGTCCGTGAGCTGTTTGAAGAACCAACATTAACGTCGCTCCAATTCTGCTTCAAACAACAACAAAAAAAATATGAAATAACTCACAACAAAATAAACGCACTCTCTGACACGAATTCTAAACGATTACAATTATAAAGAAGAAACACAAACTAAATTCAACAAATCTTACAAGAAGACAAAATCGTAAATAATATTAACACCGTTTACATGTTTTTTTTTTCTATTCTAAACGTACGCCGCATACATACCAAAATTATTCACGATGCATTATAAATATGTAATAAGCATAATTCGGAACAGTTAATCCAGTTTTGTAGCACAGAGCGTATGTTTATAGAATATTTCTGGACACGATCAAAGAAGGCGGATCAAAAAAAATGTATATATATATATTACGGTTACTCCGGCTATTGTGTGAAATCGAACGATTTCAACAAGTCGATTGTTGTGAAAACACTTCGAGCGATATTTGGAACACCCCGGGGAAAGCACGACGGTTCAATTAAAGTCCATCCGAAAACACACATAACAACTCATTATATATTGTCTGCAACTTCTTTGCTTTTCCGAGGAAGGACAACAAAGGCGATGCATTATCCTTGACCCCCGCCAGGTGACTGATAACGTTTAGCACTCAGCATTAGCAGCTCTCCCTTCCCATCAACTATACCTTATTAATGCCGTAACTCAATTCGTTACTTCTGCTCAAAGCTAATTATTTTTAAATTAAAAAAAAGATCATAACCATTAGCTATGAAGATACCGTTTTCAACTAAACTGTCATTTTATATAACTCGAATTGACAAATGGTAAACGATCACCCATCCGCATCGCTTAACTATCGTTATTTGTCAGACGTCAAAAAAAAAGTGACTTTCAGTTCAAACTGAATATTCGAATGATAAAGAAAATGCGTTCTTGGTTCGGATGCATTGAAAACACTGTTTTGTGAACGTTGGAAAGCGATTGCTTTCCGCGTCTGTCGTTTTGTAATTACACGAGTCGTGTGTTGGGAATGTTTATCGCGTGAATAAATCTTAAAAATACATAAGTTATTCCGAACACAAACGGCGCATCATCGTTCACCGACGGCCATAAATCGTATTCATTAGACCGATCCTAGAATAATTAATAAATAATTTGGCAGATTTAGTATTGCATTTATTCATCGTTCACACGCACAATATTCAAATTAATTACCGAAACCTTCGCATGCATAATGCATTCATTCTCTCTTATTTTTTTACCTCTCAAAGAAAGAGGACTTCACCGAAAATAACATCTACAAAAAAAAAGGAAAATTCAGTATCCAGTATTCCAATCTTTGTTATCTTTGAGGCAAGTAAACTATCCTTGAAATTAACCCTCGAAGGTTGAATTCAAGGAAACGGGGGCAGCATTAAACGAATCAACAAAGCTGATAAACGATGCCATAAATCACAATATTAATAATAATAATATCGCTATATATTGCTATAGATTCCTGAACCGTACACGGATCATTACGACTAAGTAATACAGGTAATTGGACAATTTCACTTTTCAAATAACATCTGTCCTCGAAACGGCACGAAAGAGAATTACAACAAACAAAAAATAATAAAATAAAATCGAAAAACACGGGAAAAAAACCGCAGAAGAGAGTGAACTCAATAGTGTGTTTCGAAGAAATTTGTCACAGAAATTATTTTCAATTTACGAAACCCAACGCGGCTGTCTTTTCTCCAAAATTCTTTCAAGCGTCTTAAAACGAAACCAACGATAATACACCATTCGAAATGCTTTCCAAAAACTAAAATAACAAAAGAAAAACGCCATTAAATTGCCGTAATTTTATTATGGGATAAGGGGGGAAAAGGTGTTTAATCCGTAATTCGAGATCCTTTGCGTTGTTTCTGCGTTTTCTTTTGAATTTCCTGGATTACGAGCCTGCGTTTTAAGTGGGCAATAAATTTTGAGAAAATCTCGGTTTTTATTTTTATTGGACACCGATCATAAAGATCTTTCTGCAGCGAATGTTTGTATTCGCCGAAAGTACAGGCAAATATTGTTTTATGGACTGTCGACGCCTCGCTTTATTTTCATTCGAAGATTTCGGAATTCGCTAAAATATTTTTATTACACTTCGACATTTTATAACTTTGTAAACACATGTTGATATAACTAAAAAAAGGATTAAATACTTAATAATAATCGATTTTGTTGTTTATAAATAAAGTTATACATCAATTTGGAACGAATTTTATCAATTGCGATAGTTTAATCTAGGAAATTTGTTAAAATTGATATATTACTAATATATAAATATTTACAATTAAAGCATAATCTAATCGAAATTGAAACGGTTATTGTAATGATATCAATCGATTAAGTTTTCATTTCCAATGTCTCTCTTAATTACACAATGTTTTTGTTGTTTTTTTATTGTCAGAGCATTCGTTTATTTTTAAGAATAAAAGCATTTCGCATTGACCTCAATTTTCGAGATAATTAAGAGAAGAGAGGAAGAAAAAAAAAAGAACTCGCGCGCACATACACACACATATTCACAGACAAATCGGTTAATTGTAATTTATGCCAAACCCACGCCAATAATTTACGTTTATTTTTATTCTGCGTATTTTTCTGTTCTTGTTCTTAATAGAGGTTTTAATTCGCAAAAGTCATTAATAATTATAATTAATAATATTTTTTTTTGCATCCTCTCGGGAAAGTTTATTTCCGAAAGGTTGAAACCTACGCGCGTCTGCGGCCCAACCTCAGACGTCTGGAAGAGGGAACGAACAACGATTGTTCTTGGTAAAGGCAGAGGAGAGAAGAGTACGAGACGAGCGTCAAAAACAGAGAAAAGAATCATTAAGATCTCACCGTCCGATTAGGTTAATTACTTTCCAATTAATAAAGCGTCTTCAGGATGATGCATAATGCATGCACGCCAATGCACAACAAAGGGCCATCAGCTTTCGCATTGTAATGCGCTCTTCATTGTATTCCTCCCGGCAATGGAAAAACGCGCACACGAGAGGCGTCGTGCTTTTTCCTTTGCACACAGCACATGGTTTCCGCATTGGGGAAGGCTCCCTCCTACAGTATTATTTTTATTTTTTTTTGGTTCGTGGAAAAGGGGCGAACCCTCCTACTACAACTACTACTACCTGCACTCACGCACCCCTCGAATCCACTTAATGACTAACACTGCACCAAATTAAATATTTAATAAAGCGGAAACAAAAAAATGAAGAAGTCGCATTACAACTTATACTAAATATGATTCACTTTACTCGCAAACACCTGTCTCTCTCTTGCTCGAGATGGTTACCACTACTGTCCTCTGCCACGAGCGTGTTCTTGGCTCTCCTCGTACGTGCTCGAATGCTCTCTTGAAGATGCCCGACACTCGACTGACAATGAAACCAAAGAAGAAAAATATCGCTGACTGTGTGTAAAATTCTAATGTAATGCCAAGGCCAGGGCATTAATTACAGCAAGCACACTCCGCCGCTGCTTCTCCTCTCCTCCTGTTTTAGTTTCATTCCTGCTTCTCTCCTCGAACTTTTCATTCCGTGATACTCCATTTCAACGCGAAGAGAAACACGTAAACATTAATAACAATAATAACGGCAGGAAATTCGATCACCTTTTCACGAGAACACCATCGATACATCTATCGCAATCCATTGCATAACGAAATAATGATGAAAATCATTTCAAAACACTTATTTCTACCTGTCCTACTCCAAAGTATTTCACTTAATTATTACTTAATAAACAAATAACTTGTAATGCATTTGTGTATCGTTACATAAATAGTTTTCATTAATACACCAAATTTGTGTACTTAATTAATTTTCAACAAAATAATACTTGCGACTTAAATTCGACAACTATAAAATGAGTTAATTATCATATTAATTTGAATGCATTTATGGACCGTTACTTGATATTTTAGAAATTACGAAAGTTAAGCAATATTTGCTTGGATGGATGATAAATTTACGAAATGAAATAATGTTTTAATCATATACGATTAAATATTAAAGACTTTCCACTTCACAAATTTATGATTATTGAGCAACTAATTTTCACTGATTTCTATTTTTATTGAAAATATAAACATAAAATCATCTTAATACCCCCATAATTAATGATGTTTATTTATAAATAAAAATAAGAAACTAGAAAAAAAACTTAATTATTATTATATAAATTTCAAAGAAATACTTTTGATTAGAGTTAATGTTAACACATTTGTATGCATTAGTTTTATTAGTTTTTTTTTGTAACATAGAACTTGTTTGTTTTAGTCAACGACGGCATCTGTAAACTTTACCCAAATTTTATAATAAATTCATTAAAGATATTCAAATTTTATTGCCGGCGGCTCAAAACTCGTCTAATTAAATTATGACTTTTCTCTCCGATTTTGTTCATTTGAATATTTATCATTACGCAAGTCTAGTTGATTTACAGACCAGCTCCGACGAAGCTAATTACAGGAGGAAATTATAGTCCAATAATTTCATTCACAAATTGAAACGGACAAGGAATAATTAAGAAATTTAAAAAAAGAATAGTTTGGGCATTATTAAATAAACTAATGACATCGTTCAATGAATATTTCACGGTGTTTTTTTTTTGATAATCTATTAATAAAGATGATTTAATCAATTTGAATTGTTCAATAATAAAAATTGTCCATAAAACGCAAGGTAACTCTGGGGTTTCCAGCAAAATAGAAAAACAGGATAAATTGTATAAGACACGTCCACGGATAAAAACGTCGTGGGCCGATCTCGATTATGTAACGTTTTCATTCACTGAATGTCATGTGTAAAGAAAGAATAATACAAACAAACAAGAAAAAAAAATACGAGCGCGTATGAATAAAAATTGATTGTGACATCATATTTTTTTTCCATGTACATGAATGCATCATCATTCATCATCGTCGGGGGAGGAAACAACTTCGATTTTACTCTCGATGGGAACGGAATGCGACGTTTTCACTGATGAAAACCGACGGTCTTCGAACAACTTCTTGTTACAAAACTGCGTACAGAAATCAGAATCTCCTTTATTATTATTATTTGTTCCGTTTTGTTTGCCCACGTTACGTAACCAAAATACACACGGCATACGTGGACGTTTCCAAACTTGACCCCCAAAAGCATAAGCAACAGCGAGGACCTCCAATATTTGGAGGAAACAGAAATCGACCACGCAAACAACGCACGAGAGGATGTTTTTTAAAAGGCGACAGGAATTCGTTGAAACAACAATTCGAAAACATGTTAAGTGAATCGATTGTTTGCGCAAACATAAAAATTTCTGAACGAACGATTCGGAAAGCTTCCAATTTCAATTTGGATTTCATCTAATAATTGCGTGGATTCGAATAACCGATAGATGGAGCTGTGAACGCACCAATGGTGAACGCCGGTCAGGGCCACGTGATCGCGAATTGACCAATCGCTTCGTGGAAGATGTGCAAGAACTTTCGCGGCACGTTTGTTTTTCTAACAAACCCGTGTAAACACAACACAATCATTTGCTTTTTAAGTTCATAGACTTTTCCACTCGCCCGTTTTGTTTACGTTCGAACGAACGTATGCATTAAGGCGCACGTATAAATATCGAATGCACTTGTGTCCATCGTGATTCATGCACTTACTAATCACAAATTATAATATTTAATAACATATTTCCATTAAGAAAGTGGTGAATCGTTTTACACAAAGCCTCATTGCGCAACGGAATCGTCTCTCGCACAATATAATGCATTTATTGTTTGAATTGCGAAACGCCGAGATGCATCTTATTTGCATACACTGCGGATTAGATTAATTTGAACAAATCGACTCCTTACATTCGGCACGCACTTGCGTTATTTACGCAACATTCATCAATCAAATCCTTTCCCTCCCCGCTCTCTCTACATCTCTTCAGATAAGACTAATCTCCGCGGATTGGGGAACTGCCATTGACCCAAAAAGCAGAAAACGTCCTTCGGCCGTTGTGAAAATGTAAACGAAATTTATTGCACTCGTAGGTGGAAGCACACAAATATATACATAAATTATTCCTCCAGAAAACGTTAAACAATATCATAAATAGGTCTTAATGTTTTTATTAACTTTACTTATTATTTTTTTTAATATTTCATTTGACTTTTAATACCGCGCTGATTCACGTCTGGATTGCGAAGCATGTTTTTCAGTTTTCCGCCTTTTATCATCTCGCTTATGAATCAGACAGCCTAAGTTATGGTTTAAAGTTATCTTTTGCAGCAAAAGAAAAGCAATTCGGATTCATAGCCCAACTTTTAATTTCTGCCCATTTGTGCCACAGCCTCGAGTTAAACGTTAATCAGGAGATCTGCGTGTGCAGCATGTAATAGGCTTTAACTAGAAACTTATGCAGAGCGGATGCAGCTCTGAATTATACACGAGGCTCTGTGGAAACACGGCCCAGCTTTAATTAAAGCGTACACTTTTTTTTTGTAACTTCATCTCGGAAACTAGATGGAATTAATCTCCATTTACACGCAGCGCGCACAAATGCAGTGCAAACACATAAGAGAGAACGAGAGAATGGCCCATTTTCGCGTCCGTTATGTAACGCATTTACATAACACATGCACTAACAAAGTCCGGCGCATAGTTTGTGCGAGTTTCAAAGAGGGCTTTTACTTTTTTTTACCTGCGTGTGTACTCACTCTTCTTTTGGCCATCCTTCGATCCTCCCGTTATCCAATGTTTGAGCACTATATTTGCAGAGAGTCGAGCTAAATTTACACTGGAACGTGCATGCAGCATTGACATTTCAGTCGACATTGGACAGAAATCTCGTTAACTCTTTTTCCTCTCTTTTTGTTGCTTCTTTTAATGAAAGAATAATAATTACGCGAGGTGACAGTCGGAATTTATGTCTCGGCTTTAAATTGAAGCAATTTTTACGTTTTTTTTTTGTAATGCAAATCGTTGGAAATAAAAAAAATAAACGACGTTTGGCTGTTGTTAATCAAGCGATATTTCAGACCACATTCGATTTCAATTAATTCCCTCAGATATTTATCGGCGTTTAAATTGATATGCATAAGTAAATATGAATTATCGATTGCTAATAAATAACAGATTACAGATGTAGAACCGCTGCAGTATGTTGAAGCAAAATACACGTAAATTCAGAAGAAAGGATAATACAAAAACTTAACAACCACCTTCGACTGAGTTACGTAACACTAGCTTTTTCTGCGGATGCCATTTGCATGGCTTTCCCCAATTCCCTTATCAAAGTCTGTGCATCTGAGTCACGTCGATCTCTATCGCTGGATGAATTAAAATAAAAGGTTAAGAGCCACGATCTTGATAATGGTATTATTGTTGCTGCTGCCCCGGTGAACGGTGAATTTCACTTCGACACCTTTGGAAATTTCTAAATGCACGGCGAAAACGAATTCGTTGTGCGAAATCTTAATTCTAAAAGCAAGCAACTACTAACATTAAAGAAATATCAGACAGTCGTCGTATAACTTTTTCGTCGTAAACATTTGTTAATTATTAAAATACGACAGATAAAGCAAATGTTTACAATCTTCTTTTTTATAAATATAAAACATTCGTAAGAAAACAAATAGACTTCTCATTAATAGGGATAATAAACGGCAGTCAAAGGCATTCCCACGAGTTTATCTTAATGTTTATGTAATGCTAATCATGTTATTTGGTTGATAATCTGATGTTGACTTGTGGTGGATCCCGGTAAATGCCACTAATTGACATTTCGAAGCCACTGCTCTGAAATATCGAGCGTTAAAAAAACGTACACCATGAATAAAACATATCCGATTTCAATTCACATATTTTTAAAAGTAAATAAATACGTGCACTGCGATTAAGGTTAATAAAACTGATAACCCTTGCACAGTAAATATTTATGGAGCTTAAGTAACGATAAAGTTACATAAAAAAATATATATATATTATATGTGGACCATTGGCACAAATGAACCAGTTCAATTTAACACGAACAACATGCTGATTAATCGTTACATTAATTGTACAATTGTATAATAATTAATAATTAGTAACATATAATAAACATAGTAGATTATGATTATTAGATAGAAAATATTCATTGATAAGGAGAGAAGGAGAGAAAAAAAAGGTTAATTTGATGGGAAGTAATGATACAGAGGTGGTTGGGTAATAATTTTTCGATTGATCTGACCTAAAAATGGTTTTGCACCGAAATCGAACGGTTGACTCGGTCCGCTGAGCTCATCCAGCGGCGAATTTCGGCGAAACAACAACAACAACCGCAAAGCACATACATTGAAACAAACACATACACTCTCACACACAAAAAAAACGAAGAACTCTATGTTCCGTTTCGTTTCTGTTTGTTAACATGCAGCGAAATAGGAATGATGTAATAACGTCGAAATCCCAATTTAAATCAATTTTAAACAATTGTCCCGATTACTGTCACATCCTTGAAGTGGTGGTAGAATGCGCGAAACAAGAAGTGAACTTGCGATGAGTTATCAAGACGTCGAAAACAAACAACCTGTTAATCGAACTGTTGTGATCGTGGACTCATCGGTTGTTGGATGCTCTGGAATGGGTTTGGAAACGTTAGATGAACGCGTTTCGGTCAGAAGAAAACTTTAAAATTGTCGGTTACACTTTTCGAAAACAGGAAGTTTCCGGTTCTTTTTTTTCTGGAGCAGAGCCCCGAGTTGAGAGAGAGCAGGACTGGATGGAAGAGAGGAATCGTGGAGCTGTTGTTCTCTATGGCAAATGGCACATTGTGGCAGGTATAAACAGTCGGAAATCGGAGCAGCACTTACTTGAATTATTTGCTACAGCTGTTCGTGAATATCGGATGCGTCCATCTTGTCAACAATACTCATATTTGTCCACACAGAACTGCACTTCTTCCGCACATTTGGTGCACGAACATACTTCAAATCCTTACTTAAAATACACTCATTGCGTCTCGCTCCCCGCTCAAAGTAACACACTGTGTCACAAACACTGGCTATATGCCGAACATCATGGCGACTCCGACCATAGATAATGAATGCAACCAGCGAATACGAGAGGCGACAGCACAAGCGACCCTAGCACCATCTCTTTGTCACCACCTTAACCTAGGCACCAATTAACCAGGCAACAATTAAACCCAGCACATACCACATCACGTCTTTCAATAGCAACCAGCCTGAAAATGATACAAGCTATAGCACAATTCAAAAAAATAATAATATAATGCAATAACAAAAAAATGAATTAAACAGACGCCGAAAATGTGATAACCCTAGCGAGATTGGCACCCGCCTAATCGCGATACCCAGAAGTCGGCTATCATCCAAAGAAACTGCAATTGAAGCGTTTCAACAAATAAATCAATTACTTTTTAATTAAAACAAACAAATCGTAAATCATCCGGATGGCGCTACCACTGCTGCCAACTCATCGCATTCAACAAATCCGCACTTCGACTGCTTTAAATATACCGATAAACTTATCCTAACGCAAATCCACACCCTTATATAACTAAACACTAAATAATTTCAATTTGCATCCTTTAAAAATCCCCGGGACAAGTGAAATATCTTTTGGTTTCGTCAAGTTATTCGTTCCTGTCAAAATTGTCATAACCTCAACAAACACCCCACCCACAGCGAACCCGCAACAAGGGTACATTTTTGTAAATAATGAAATTTTTATTCTGGGGTTGGTTCGGTGTCTTCCTACTGCTCAATTCCTCGGACGCCTCCACCGGTGACAGGTCCACGCATTTCCGCAATTGCATGAGGAGATGCGAGTTCGAGCGCTGCGAAAATGGTAAAGTTTATATGTACCGAAAAAAGATGGCTATTAATAATGCATTATTGATCTGCAGGTGGTTCAGATTTTGCTGCAAGGGAGATTCAGCCAGTGCATCTGTGGCTGATGCAGTGGACCTGCACTGATGAGTGCAAGTATGATTGCATGTGGAGGACAGTTGATGCTTATAACAAAAGAAACTACAAAACTCCTCAGTTCTATGGAAAAGTAAGATTGTCTTTGTAACATATTTTAGGTATTTGATTTATTGATCCAATTATCTATGTATGTGTATTCACTGATTATATTGCAATGCAACAGTGCGCTTTATCATAGATGGCGCTGTTTCTCTAGATTCAAATTCAAATTATTAGAAGAAGACACTCGCAACGAACTTGACAAATTAGTAATAAAACTTCTCTTAACGTTTTGATTAGTTGATGCATGCAACAGTCTCTAAAAAATATATTATTCTAGTGGCCATTTATAAGGATATTCGGCGTCCAAGAGCCTGCATCCGTTTTATTCTCCTTGTTCAACTTCTATGCCAATCTTCAGGGTATTTTAAACTTCCGCAAGACTGTGCGACCTGATGCACCTATGTTCTGGTTCTGGCATTTCTTTTGCATAGTAAGCGGTCATTTGCTATTATTACGAGAGACGCAGCTTCACATTTATTCGAATATTGCAGGTATCGTTGAACGGTTGGTTTTGGTCCACGGTTTTCCATGCCAGAGACTTTCCAAATACAGAATTCATGGATTACTCCTGCGCTTTCTCTATGGTTTTAATGAGCTGCTACTGCATGATCATGCGTTTCATGAAGGACTTCCCAAGATTCCTGAAAATCGCCGTAACAGTATTCTTTATAGCATTTTACGCGAACCACGTCACGTACCTGAAACTTGGCAAGTTCGATTACTTGTACAACATGCAAGTGAATATTTTAGTCGGTGGGTTTACTCAGTTACAATACGGGTATTTCTTGGAGTATTAACCTGAGTTTTTATGGCTGCAGGAACTTTCACGGCGATTTTCTGGTTCGCTTGGGCCATTTACAACCGTTTCCGTTTACCCTACGTCTGGAAGATAGCCGCCTTCGTCTCAGTGGCCTGTGTGAGCACTCTGTTGGAGGTCCTCGATTATCCTCCTCTCTTTTATATCCTTGACTGTCACGCCCTTTGGCATTTAAGTACCGTACCTCTGGTTTATTTATTCTATAGGTAAGTCGAACAAGAACTTATTTGGAAAAACAACAATATACATCTTTTTCTTCAAAAATACAATTTCAGTTTTATTACCGATGACTGCGTTTTTCTACGCAAGGAGCAAGCGGAAAGGCTGGACGTCGAAAAAGTAAAGAAACACAATTAATTGCTCACGACGTTGTCGCAAATTGTTTCCGAATTAGCTTCTTTTTGTTAAATGTGTGTGATTGTTTTTGCCGCAAATCTCTGTTTACATCCGTTTCTTCGCATCGGAAGGAACTCTAAAAGAAATTATTTTATTTTTGTTTCGGCATATCAAGATATATACATATTATAAAGGGCAAAGCCACGACAAAGAAAAAGACAGATAAATATATACAAAATATATACATATATATAAATTATATTAAAAAAAAGTAGGAGAAATGTTAGAAATTAAAAAATTTATGAATGTTCAATGTTCTAAAAAACATGAAAAAAAAATTAATTTATTCGATTGTTGATTTGACTTTAGTTTCGGAATTGTTATGGCTCCCAGGTTTTAGGGAGCACTTGATCCAAAGTGTATACGAATTTATTTATACAAATCGTTAGTTGCCATCTCGTATCAAAACCAAAAAAAAAATGTTTATCTTTATATTTAAGGAGATGTGTTTAGTCTTTTATGTTTATGCCTTTGTTTGATTTTATGTACCTGTTTTTATACACGAATTATATTTATTTATATGTTGCGTACTATTGTATTTATTAAATAAAGTATATTAAAAATGCATTACATTTATGTTCGCTTTGGGGAAGCTTCTCGTAAATAATCCTAAGACTAATTAGTTTTGTTTCTTTTCAGGGGAAAGAAAAAGATGTTTAGATTTGATTAACATTATTAAAATTTTAAAAATACTGTAGTTGACAATAAAATCATGATAATTGAAAAATGATATTAATATTCCAATTATATTCATTTTTTTTAAGCGTTGGTGTATAGTGCATAGTGTCAGATATAACTCAAACTTATTGTATGAGGTGATGCAATTGTTTCGAAAATAAACGTGAGTGAGTAATTCGACAAACCTGGAGGAATCCCAAGAGCTGTTTCACAACACTTATTTACTTCACAATCGGCACATCTTTCAGCGTTCAGCAATCCCGACTGATCGCGCTCTCATTTTGGAGCTCGTAATTGGAAGCCTCCTCTCCTCTCTCGCTCTCCCAAATAAAATCACACACACGTATACATCTATATAGACATACATACACACACACACATACAACTAAATATAAACGAATTTGTTTATAAACAAATTGCTAATAGATGTGTATGCCTCTTGCTTCTTCATCCGTGGCGGCAGGTTCGAGAAGCCATAAGCAAAACACCTACATGAAACAGTTAAATTTAATTCCCGCACAAATTCCAGAAATACTCGGCGCAAATAAAAGCGGAACACGCTGAATTACTTATATATTTTCGCATTACTCTCGTTGGGAACAACAACATACATGTGGATTCGTTCAATCGCACCTACAGCAGATGAATCTGATGAAACGGACGAAGCAGCTCCTCGGTTTCATGTCGCCTTTGGTCAGGATGTTCGCCTGAAACGTGTGCGTAGATGATGTGAATGAAACGCACTTCTCATCTTCCTTGAGTTTATTCCGCCGCACACATTTCCTCCTCCTCCTGCCATCCACTGAACTTCTCTAAGGTGTCAATTAAAGCTCAACGGGATTAAACACGGTTGTACTTACGTGCAACTGCAGTAATAAGCTTTCTTCTTTCTCGTTTTAAGATTAATGTTCTTAATCGGAGCCTCCTTCTGTTTAACACTATCAACTCTGACCACGCTCTTAGCTTCAGTAACATCCGTCGAGGATTCTTCTTTCGACGACTCCGACTTCTTCGATTTGACTTTCTTGTTTTTACTGCACTTACTCTTGCACTTGGCCTTCTCAGTTTTAACTTTACGCGTATTGATTTTTTCTTCGCTCTGATCGAATTGGGGCATCGATTTGCATTCGCAAAGCATCTTCTGAAATTGGGTGGAACTCAGCGGCTTCAGGAACAATTTTTCGTAGTTCGTGCATTTGAAGTACTCGTCCATGAAGACCGGCGCGGCAATTGCGTTCTTATTAGCGAATTCCGGATGCTTTGGTTCTAACGCATTGCTATCTTTAAGCAGCAACAAGCACTTCTGCAGGCCGTCCTTGATTTCTTTAATGTCATTCGCCTGACTCTCAAGTTTCTGCGCCAAACTATCGATGAGAATCTTGTCCGATGGTATTTTAGGAACCATATCTTGGCTTTCATCTATTGTGGTCCTAGATGGACTCTTTCTAATCTCATGGATTATCTCCGACTGCCTCTTGGAACCGTTGAATAAATGGCAGCAGTTGCTCTTCTTGTTGGTAACTGAATCATCTGAGAATCGCTTCTCATGCAGAGTGATTGCATCCTCGAGTTGGTAAATTCGCTTCCTCAAGAACTCGATCTCTTTTAACTTCTGCCTGATGAGATTGGATTCCGCTGGGTGTCGTCTTACTGGATGGTTCCTGTATAATAAAAAAATTAAATGTTTAGATCGCATATTTACTATGAGAGACAAACCTATGTTTGGTGAAACGTTTCTTCCTTTTCGCTTCATTTTCCTCCACCCACCGGATCCTGGGCTCGAACTTTCTAGAAGGATTACATCTAAAGCGCTCCTCAGCCTCAGAAACCTGGTGTTTCTGGTATGACATGAATTTTACTCATTTTCCACCAAACATCCGAGAGGTCCTCCCTATTGACACATTTCACTAGGATTTTGATACATGCATAGGTGATTTGATATTAAACACATTTATTTTTTTTTTTGTATTTTCCTTTATTAATATCATTATTGTTCTAATTATATTCGCCCTATTGTTATTGTCACAATCACAATTCATATAATATAATTAATTCCGCTTCCTGTCCACTGCTCCAGAGAAAAAAAATTAAATTATGATTAAATCAAACGAATTCTGTGATTTTCGTGTATTCGAATTTCTCGTTATTTTTCATTTCTTTGTTTTCTTTTGGCAGTAAACAAAACTAATACTAATATTCTATTATAAGATAATCACAGAGACTTGACTTATATGTAACAAATATTTAAAAAAAAAACATATTTCAAACAAACAATAAGAACAATAATCAGATAAGTACTAGGTGCATCGATGCATATACATAAAGTGTCTTTATTTATTTCTTTTAAAGGATGGACTTGTCTTTCATTAAATGTCGAAACGCAATAGTAATTCGTATAAATCATACGAATCATGCGAGTCGTTTATTATTAAGAAAATTGCGGTTAAATAAATTAATAGGATTAAAACAATCGTTTCCATGTAGTATTCTCCTGAAAGCCGGGTTAAATTATCAACAGAAAAGGTACTTGTAGTAATTATACTATTATATATAGTAATTAATAGGCAAACTATTAAGCTCTTTTTAATAGATTATTATTGTTGGTTTTTGAAACCAACGCATCTAACACTAACATTATATTGATTGATTATAGATATTTTATCTCATATTTTCATCTTTAATATAACTTATTAAAGATTATTATATATATACATACAAAATCGTAACATGTTCATGCCCAACTTTTTAATTTAAAGAGAATAAAAGTTTTTTTCTGTTCTAAATCAGAGTTTGCTCTTTCGTTTCCTGCTCTAAACATTTCAATAGAAATTTACAAAGTAAACACAAATTTGGAAATATTGAAAGAACCAAACTGATCATTAGATTTTACAAGTTGGACATGAACTGTTACACCCAATTTCTAAACAATCCCGACTTTAAAAGTACATTCTTTTGTGCATTAATATATTATTTATACAAATTCTGAATACGCGTTTTTTTCTTCTTCTTTTTACATCTTCAGATATGGAAACAAATCGTTTTGGCTCAATAAGTTATATATTTTGTTACTCTCTATATCAATTCACAATTCAGTCACGAATGATTGCGTTTCGCGCACATCGACTGATAACGCGCGGAGTGTAAATCGTCGGACTTTGTCCTTCAATGAAACTTAATATATAAAAAAAAACAACAAAATAAACGCGTTATCACCGATTCGCGGAAATGCCTTTAATTTTTTTTGTACAAATAAATAATTTGGAATGTTTCAAATAAGTAACCTCAACAAGAGTACAATTAAAAGTCCTACACTAACGATAAATATATATCTCTATATGTATATAATATATTCTTAAGTCTTCTCATATTGACAATTAATGCGGGATCCTCTCGCGCGGCAATTTTACAAAAATCAAGAGAAACCGCAAATGAATGTAGGTAGTCGTAACTTTAATGGATGGTTTGAAAATTATATAAAAAAAAACTAAAAATATAAATAAAACAGGAACAATGCAAAATGAGTTCAAATTTACGTGAACCATCGTTGCGAAGATACTTTAAAACTTAACTAAATTAAATCTGACTACGTATTCATAATTAAAAGCTAGTATCTTAAAGACTTGGACGAAATCATATATGGCCTGACGTTTCAAGGATTTTTTTTTCTTTTGTTTGTTTCTTGTTGCAAACATATTTACACTAAGTCTGCTTGAAGCAGTAAAATATCATTGCACTGATCAAATAATTGAGCTTAAATTAACTGATGCTACTGTAGTTGTCCTTAAGGTTTAGATCAATTAGAAAAGTTGTTAATTAATTTATTTTTTTTTGCTTTTGGTCCGTCTCTATTTAAATATACTTCCATTTCCCCATTCTTATTTACTCTTTTTTTGTTTGTTTTTGTTAAATACTAATAGTGTATATATTTTATGTATAGATAAGAATAGCGTGCTTCAATCGAAACTCACCTTCGCCGCCTCCTTCGTGTTTGAAATCAAAGCTCGGAAACGCAAGATCCTGTCTCTACTTACAATGACTTCCAATCTGATTGTCAATTGTTGCTAATTTACATAACGTCGAAAATAACTGGTCTGGATTATTCTAGATGTGCTTTGCTGTTCGTTCAATTGTGGGCGGCTCGTTTTCCGCTCATGTACGCAATCCATCGTTCCGCCGTTTGCTGGAAGATGGGTTCATTGTCCAATGTGGAAAGGAGTAACAGCTGGTTGATGTGAGTTACATGGTAATCCCATCTGGCTAAATTAGGAGCAATTCCTAGTGTGATGTGCCTGAGATCGTAGGCCGTGGAGCTGCCCATGTCGTAGAACATGAGCATGTTTTTTAAAGAAACCATGCCCTCTTCGAACAGCAGCTCCGCCTCCTTGGCTTGCGGTGGGGGTGCCATGATCATCAAGTCGTAAAGACCGAGCAATGAATAAATGAATCCGTTCAATACGAAGCTCGCCGGTTTCGTGGGGTACTCCTCGTACCACCTGAATTTATTCATGAACGTGGCCAAAACGCCGCCCTGCCAACTGGGCACTCGGAACGGTTTCAACGCTAGCACAGCCGCGTTCAAGTACCTTTCATCTCCACCGGAATGGAAGTACGCTCTTGCCAGAACGCTAATCGCCTGCCCTTGACCCATGGCCGAATACCATCCAGGTTCTAGAGTCTGGAAGCCCGCGCTCAGTTTCCTCTTCACCTGGATACTCCAACCTCCCGACTTCGGCTCCTGATTCTTCAGAAACCACTCGGCGGAATCGTAGAACTGCAGGATATGTTCCGACGAAGATAAAGTGAAATTGTCGATCGCCCCGCGACCTCGCATCACCACGCCTATTATCTTCAATTTAGACCTAGGCAGTCTGTGCTTAATGGATTTGTCTTTGTTGAGGTAGTTCAGACCTTTCTGTAAGTCTATTATTAAATCCCTTGTTATGCGCACCCAATTCTCGGATGTGCCAATTCCATGGTAAATGTTCTCTTCCTGACAGAAAACGAAACAAAAAATTAATTAAAAAACAACAATAAAATAAATCAATATAATACCTGAGCAGTGATTAAAATATCTGAAGCTACATAATGCAAATTGTAAATGCCTTGTTTCTCGCGATTTTGAAGGATCACCGTGAAACTGCTGTTTGGACTAAGAGCAATACTGAGACTCATAACAAAGTCTAAAACGTGGTCCATCTTCAGTCTGACACCGCTGCTAAAACTATCCAGAGTGGTGAAATTCATGACTTTGCTCATTGCTGAATCGTCGTAGTTCCTGATTATGTTGCTACCATTCGGAACTACCCATTTCCCCAATTCCTTATCACCGTCCTCGATGTTTTTTCGTCTCGGTTCGGGTTCCGTCAGATTCTTGCTGTAATGCGCCAATCCAAATTGCGCGATCTGTGTTGGGTAATGGTACCCATTACTTTCCCACTGCGTGGAAATTGGAACACCGTTCAACGCGCTCACGCATTTCACCCTATCCCTGGCCTCCACATTGAAATTCTCAAAATGCATAAAAACACCACTGGGCTCATACTTCCCCTTCGGATGGTAAACCTTGCCCACACTGTGTGTCCACTCAAATCTCTCCACTCCATCATAAGTAGCCAATTTCCCATAGATCTCAAAGTAGTTGTGTATGAATGAGAATGGAATATAAACTTCTCCACCTTCCTTCCTGCATCCTATTGTGTAATCCCCATTAATGACACAGTCAAGTTCCTCAGTGCCTTGGATCTCATTGGCCTTGTTGGCTGTATCCACATATATTGGTCTGCGGGACCACTCTGTCCCATAGTCTCCACAACGAGTCCACAGTGAAAGTGTTGTAAATACAGCAATGACACATAAACAGAGCACAATCTTGATGTTGAACCTCATCATCACAAAGAACAAGGGAGTGCCCTAAAATTTGGTAGAAGATCATTAGTTTGAAGCACATGATTTAAAGAATTCTATCACCTTATCGTTGTGGTAACCTTTTTGGCTAACCACAGAGCTGGAAGGTCCCGGATTAATCATTTATTTACATCAAGGAAGCCTGCAGATGTATTTGTTGTAAGACTATTCCAATAGCACACATATATACTGAGTCACTTTACATAGTTAGCAATGAGGAGGTGGACAGCAGCGATCCCGCATATAAATATTATGTTTGGATTACCAATTATCAACAATAGCCAGATGATTCGACTGTCAAAGCGGATGCGCTCCAATACTTGCGCGCAAACAAAAATAAACATTGAGTGGGAGGGGACTCCCCTGCTTCCACAGCTCGTCAGATGGCGACTCGCATAACAAATATTAATATTAAAATGCTATTATATCACTATATACCTGCATATTTATCTATTCACTTGCGTGATTGGAATTATATTACATATTTTAATGTCTAATGGATAATGGATAACTAATGCTGCCCACATGAACGGCAGTTTTTTTTTTAGAAAGTATCATTTAAATGATGACCGAAAATGGATCGTTTGAATAATTTAGACGCGCCTCGAATTTTTGATTGCTTTTTATCTGCCAATTATAATTTGAAAACTAATTAAGTTTTACTCAACATGATAGCTCTAAGCTAAACAAGTTTGTGGAATTTATGAAAATTGTTATAAGCATTCCTATTTCTGAAGTTCTACGCAATTGATTACTATTGAAATTGTGAAATTCAAATGTGTCCTTTGGATTAATCAAAGTCAAATCAAATAGGTTTTTACTATGATACTAATACAGTGGAACCTCGCTTAACGAGTTTAATCCGTTCCAAAATTTCCAAATTTTTACTCGTGTACAAAAGTTTTAAAAATGATGTACAAGACGCGCAATCCGGGACTTCTCTTCTCATCGTCACTCGTTATGCGAAACGTCTCTCGTTATGCGAGTCATTTTTCTTACAATTCATTTTACTCGTTATACTATACTCGTTATACAATAGGTTAAACATTAATTTAGATGTGAAGTCGACATTGATTACTTTATATATATTTTTTGAGGTAAGTTGAATTATTTCATCAAGATTATAGTAAATGCTCTATGAAATCTTTAAGTTGAATCTTAATTATGAAGTTTTGAAGAGGTTGTCACCAACAAATATTGAAATTAATGTTGTATGGTTAATAGTTTTGAGTATAAGATGATATATTTTTATAGACATTGTTGATAATGCTAATGAGAGTTGTATTTTAGGTATTATTATTTGAAGTTGAATCACAACTATGGATTACAAGTCAGATTGTAGAAACGACGCTCCGAGGTTTATGGAACACTGCGGCGAGGAAAGAGAAAGTTACTATAGGAGGCGATGACCGTCCGTTCGCTCCGAAGGAGCAGGAGCAGAATGAGCTGTAGGAGGTCGCGGCCGCTGTGTCCGAGGTGATAGCTTCGGCGGTGGCTCGGGGCCGTCGCAGGACGGGCAAAGGCTCGGGCAGCGGCACGCGGGGGCGGTTTTGCCCGTGCGTCGGGGGCGGCGCGCGTGTGCGCCGCATCAGAGCCGCCGCCGCACCTTCCATAGGGCAATCGATCCGGGCCGCAGAGGGCGCTAAGTGGAGAGTGCCGAGGCCGAGAGCGTTAGTCAGGGCTGCGTGCGATAGTGTTCGTTTATTTTTGAGGGCCTCCTGGATCGGAAAATGGAGAAGCGGAGGCGGTTTCGCATGCCATCATGTTGGGGGGCTCGTGTCTAGTGTTCCGACTGCCATTGCACGTCCATCGAGTTCTGTGACCACGTCGTGGGGGGTGGAGGTGCGCGCAACCGGCGGACGTACGCCCGCCTTCTGAAGAAATGCTGTAATGGCAAGAGAGGTACATAACCATCACAACCACCATCATCATCACCACCACCACCAACATCGACAGTATACTCTCGACTCTTGCATACCATTTAATCAACTAAACAAACAACATCTTCCAATGAAAGACAATGTAATTGTTATCCAAATTTAAGTTTATAATATTTTTAACTTTGGTCCATCCAAAATGCATCTTTAATGAGTTGTTACTTTTTTTTCGTTCTTGTTTGTTTTTGAATCAGTGTGTGTGTTTGTGCATTTTGTGTGTGTTTCTATTTTTTTTTCTATCCTGCTCTTTCTATATGCCCATCTGTCGCTCTTCCTATCTGCTACCCTTGTGTATTTGTAGTAAAATGTGTAGTAGGATGCTGCATGTAAGTTAAAACAGTATGCGCGTTGCACCCCCACCCGTTTTGATATTGGGTCAGGTCAGTTGTCAGTAGGAAGGTTCGGTGATCTCGGGTAGTGAACTCGCGTTGGATAAGTGCGCCAAATAATTGAATTTGATAGATTACACACGCTCGCACACCTAGCCGCATACAATAATCGTACACCGAGATAGACCAGTAGCAACCTAGTAGCGACTCTGCAATGGTGTGTCTGGTTGTTTGGGTTAGTTGTTTTATTTTTTTGTGTTGATTTATTTTATTTTAACTCGTTCTATTCTTTTCTTAGTATTTTTTTTGCGTTAGATAAGTTTGATGATGATGATGACGTTGATGATGTTGTTGCTACTGTTGCTGTCTGTGTCTGGTACGGTTTGGTGGAAGTTGTTTTTTGGGATATGTTGCAGGAGTCGCGCGGAAAGAGACCCTTCAAGCTATGGGACGGGCGGCGTAGCGTGCGCAAGGGGCTGGTGGTGGGGAGTTTGGAAGAGCTGGTGCAGCGGGGCCGGGACAAGCTCGGCGTTTCCATTAATGAACCCGTGAGATTGGTCTTGGAAAGCGACGGTACCCAGGTGGAAGATTTTGAGTATTTTCGAACTTTACCTGCAAACACCATCCTCTTGTTGCTGCGACCTGGAGAACGCTGGCTACCCGCTGGAGTCGATGTCATAAGAGCAGGTAACTATTGCGATATCCGGGAGTTTGCAGTTCCTCTTGTTCAGCATTTCATTGACAAATAAACAATACTAAAATTAGAAAAGTTTAATTATTTCCAAAATTTTTAAAAATAATTGGTAAAATAATAATTTTCAATCAAAAAGTTAGATTAATATATATTGTAATGAAAATTGTAGAAATGGATAAATGGGTTGAGAGGTATTCCGTAAATTGTATATTATGTTGTGAATTTAGTCTATTAAATGTTGAACACATGAGAGGTGATCTGGGTTTGCAAATTTCCTGATGGTAATGGTGCGGTTGACAGTTGGGGGGGTGGGATTGATGTAAACAGTGTTGTTGATGCGCGGTTTCTGTTGGTTGATGTTAGTAGCAATCTCGGCGATACCGAAGATCGTATGCGAGACGATCCATGCTTTGGAGCTGCACGATGAGACGCCCTCTTGGAAGATCATGGACAACAAGGGTCGAGTCACTGTTGTCTTACATTGGGACCAGAGGTCTGGGCCGTCACGGGCTTCCTCCTCGGAGACCCCGTCGCCAGCCCCAGGCAAGTTCTCGCCGAGCAAGCGACCGTCTCTCGTAATCCAGACATCCCTTCCAGGCGGAGGTAAGAAGGAAACGCTGATCAACGATATTTACGCACCGCCGCAGCCCCGATACTCGAGTCCCCAAATCACTGTGATAAATCACGACGACGTGAAGCCACCACACCGGCTGCTGAAGCAGGGTAGCTCTTTGGAGAGCGCCGGCATCCATATACACACCCCGGAATGCGCCCATCACGCCCACATGCCGCGCGCCGGCAGCCCGCAGAGCAACGGAGCCATCGAGTGCGACTTCCATTGTTGCGCCCTACACGAAGAGGGTCGCAAGATCGCCGTCCACAAGAGCGTGGCCACCTCGCCCATACAGGATGCGATGCAGCAGACGTCGCCGCAACCGCCCTCCTCACGCCACGTCCGATTCCTGGACATCGAGGGTGGAGCAGAGCGCGAGCACCGACACGAGCGGAACAACGAGCACGAGAGCTCCGAGAGCGAAACCGAGAACACGGTGATGGAGGACGAGGCCATCACCTCCGAGAAGTTCCTGCTGCTCATCGACCAGCTCAGCGTCGACCAGAAGAACCACTTGAGCATCAAGGACATCGGTATCATCCTCGAACGGCTCAGCTCGAAGATCCTGGACGTCGAGCGGCTGGACAGGGAGAGCGAGAGCGACGATTGCTACAACTGGACGATTAAGGCCACCATCCGCGGCGACGTGCTGCGCGAACTCGGAGTCATCTACAACGGAAACTACTACGCCATCTCCGAGCACCCCGGATACAAGGAGGAAAACGAAGACGGTGTCGACGAGGTCGAAGAAGAGGAAGAGGAGGAGGACCGGCTGTGAAAACAATTCGAAACTGCCAAAACACATACATAACCGAGAAGTTCGTCTTAACAAAGAGAGAAAAAGAGAAGCAACAAAACTCTATACAAAAAAAACAGTGTGCACATATCTCTAAGAAGAGTGAAGAAGAGCGCACCATTAAAAAAAAATCATAATAAAAATAAAATAATAATAATATTGAAAACATAAAATTACTTAAGAAACGGAAATGGTTTATGTAAAGAAAAACTATTTGTAAACCACGCCCGCTTCTGAAACTTATTATTAACTAAGTTGCGGCCGATGGGAGAGAATACAAGAATGCTGATTAGGCGAATTTTTAATTTTACTCAATCGTGAGGTGAAGATTTAAAGAAAAAACAAATTAAATAAATCACTCATTTTCTATGTTTTTTATTTCTTTTTGTAACAAATAATACAAACAAGAAAATTAAACATATATATATATATAAATATATAATGAATATATAACATAATTATATATTAAAGAAGAATAAAAAAAACTGTGGCCTCAACCGAGGAATATAAGGATTAAAAAAAACGTGGAGGAAGAAGAAAAAAAACTAGAATCATATGATTGCTTTGTACTTTTTTATATAATTATTATTGTTCGTAAGTTTAGGAGGTGAACAAAAAAACGGTTAATTAATTTTAAGGAATTTTAAGAAGGATGAGAAAAAAACACTGAACATATAAACAAAATAAGAAATAATGATGATTATTATTATTAAAAAGGGAGAAGAATCCAAAAAATATATTAGGTGAAAAGAATCTAGCAGGAATTCGTACGATACAGAGTTGATTAGATTTGATTGTGAATTATTTGAAAATAATATTATTATGACAATTCCGAAGTTTATACTTTGCTCAATTTCGTTCTCTCAGTGCGTCACTCAATTACAATGGAAAATTTGTGTGGCGGAAATTCGCGATTGGATACATAACGTACTTAATAAAGATGGAAGATGGCGGAGAAGTGGAGAAGAAGAAGAAGAACGATTACATAAGTATTTATTAAATTGGGATTTTTTCAGCAATGAAAATACGATGTAGGTCTATATTAGATGAAATCATTGGAAGATATATATATATGAAGAGGAACGTGGATCGGAGGAGTTGGAAGATGAAGAAGATGATTATGAAGAAGGAAGAGGAAGAAAAAAAAGACTTAGTTATTCGAATATAATAATGACATTTGATTTTATTATTTCATTGTTTTGTTGTTGTTCTTTCTTTCCTGGGTTTCGATTTGCTCTCTTTTACTTTTACGTATCCAGAAGGTGCGGATGAGATTAAACGGATGAATAAATGAATAGATGTTATTTATGCATAAACCACCGAGGATGGAGACACGGCCCAACGACTGGACACTGTCATTTGTAATTCTCGCGCGGCGCGTCGCGTAAAATAATACATTATATATAATATATATTTAAAGCAGTAGGAAGGAGGTGGAGGAAGCCGTGAATAATCGAAGATGATCCTCGGCGGAAGGACGTACGGACGAACGGTTTTTTTCATATTCTAAATTTTGAAGACAAACACTGCCAAAAGAGGATGAACGATTTTTATTGGAAAGCTCTTGAAAACAGATCAGGAATTTATCGTCGATCTTGGCGTTTACAATAAGCGGTCGGGAAAGCGCGCAGAAATCATCATCGAACGGTCATCGCCTGGGTTGGACCCCTGATCCTCCGACTGACCCACATTATTATTATTACACTTACCGTTGTTCATTCATCTTGATCAACATTCGATCGTTTTCACGTTGTTGGTGCGCGTATTTACTACTTATTATTACTATTATTACAAGCTCCTTCTTTGTTTACCGTTGTTGCTGTTTACTATTTTCTTTGTGCACTCACCAAAACAAAAAAAACCAAAAGAAAACCCCCAGGGACGAGGAAATCTGCGCGAGTGAAAGGCAAACCGCATTCGAGAACCCATCCCACGCCCATCTCTCATTATACATTAATGAAATGTACTGATATAATAATTAAAGAAGAAAGAAAAATAAATAAAACAATTATAAAAATTTGAAAAAAAAGGAGTAATATCAGAAAAAAAAAACTTTATATATAAATATATGAAATATGTATGGCAGAAATTTACCAAGTGGTTCTTTTTTATTTAAAAAAAAAACTGTTAATACATACACCTTATCTCTTTAATTTATTTATTTATATTTTCAATAGGATTTTCTTTTTCTCGTGTTAATTTTATTGTTATTATTGTCGTCGTAGCATGAATGAATATGCATTTTCTTGCATTTTATGGGGCGGATTTGTGTGCGGATGAATGTGAGTGTGTGTGTGTGTGTACGAGTTTGGAGCGAGGACATGAAAATCAGGTTCATTGGTTTAGCAGCGTGCAGAAAACAGGGTGAACGTGAGTGAGGCCGTTGACTTTAGGTGGGGATGGTGCTGGTGACCCAATGACCCAGATGCAAGGCGCGAAGCATCCACCGGGGAGTAACTCATAAATACTATTACACTACGCGCGCATACTATATAGTATGCATGCATAGACCATTGAATTCATTTTGTGATTTGGCGCGCTCCCGATCTCCATTTGAAACGGTCCTCACTTCAAAACAACGCGGGCACTCCCACTCGAAGAAACCCCCGAATTTTGTCGTCGAAGAAAAAAATAACAGTCGTCGAACCTTGGCGGATGCGCCGGGTTTGCTCAAAAGAAAAAATATTTCTTTCAAATATTGTTAAATCATATACACATTTAAGAACAACACGAATAAAAGTATTTCACTTCATTATTTTTTTCTCTCTTTCTCCTCTATTTACTCGTTTCTTTTTTAATGTCTCGTAGCTTTGCTGGACTATCAGTATATTCTGGGGGATGGGTGTAAATAAATATATGTTCAAAAGTACTTTTTACTTTCATAATAAGCATACGATGTGATGAAATTTATATTTACAAATTTTCAACAAAGTTGTTTTCTTTTTGTTTTGTTGTTGTGTGTGTGTGTAACTAACTGTTAGCGCCATCCAATGCCTATTGACACTGACGTTGTGTTTCTTTTTTTTATTCATAATTATACGACAGAAATATTTATGAAACTTTTGGTGTTCAATTTTTTGAAATTTTTATGGAAACCAACAACGTTTTCCGATTATTATTTTCCATTCTAAAATGTACCATACCATACACACGTAAAGTACGTTCATTTCTTTTTCGAATCATAAATATAAATCAATATGTCGATAAATGGAAATAAAAAAAAAACAACCATTCAAGCTTATCATTATTTTCCTTATATTTCATTAATACTCAAGCAACGCACAAGTTAAGTATATGAACATCAATTTTATTTAAAAACATCTAAATTAGTTTTTTTTATTCATAATTTTAATAAGTTACAGTAAATTTTTTTGAAAAATTAGAAGTTGCACACAGATGTTATTGTGTTCGTTTTGCAAATCAAAAATTGGCTGTAACGATCAAGGAAATGCTGCTGCTGCTGCACCGGAGAACTCAGATGCGGCTCCGGTGATAAATGCAAAGGAGTACGCATGTGTGGATGTGCCCGGGCCCTTCCTAGGTTTGAATGAACCGAAGGGTGGATCTCAGTGCAACACCCACACGCTCTCACCTACTTGTAAGTACAATCACGAAAACTTTTTTTATTTTCATCCTTTCGCTTCACTCAATTAATATTCGTCGCGCGCGAACGGATGGTACTTATGGTGGACGGCTTCGTCGTAGCCGCATGTCCTTCCGTTCCGATCCATACCGTTCAGAGCGGTCATCTCCGCTTGCGACAGTGCGAAATCGAAGATGTTTATGTTCTCGTTGAGGCGTGATTTCTTTACGGATTTAGGAATCGTTAAAAGTCCTCTTTGGATTTGGTATCTGAGGAGGATCTGAGCCGGCGTTTTCTTATGTCTGTCGCCGATCTCCTTAAATTTTGCGTCTTTCAGAAGCACCGGATCATCGGGTTTCAGATTGGGTCGATCGCCGGAACCCAAAGGGCTGTACGCTGTTACAGTTATATTCTTCGACTTGCAGAACGTGATGAGCTTATTCTGGTTCAAATACGGTGTGCATTCCACCTGATTTGTGACCGGGACGATGGCGGTGTTCTTGAGCAATCTCTCGATTTGGCTCTTGTTGAAATTCGAAATGCCTATCGCTTTGGCTAAGCCTTGCTTATAAACTTCACCCATTGCCTTCCACGTATCCACGTAGTCGTCGTCCGTAAAATCTGGAGTATTATCATCCTTTAAAGGCTTCAGGACAGTACCTTCTTTAAAGCCAAACGGCCAATGGATCAAATACAGATCTACGTACTTCAATCCCAGATTATTCAAAGTCACCTTCAGAGCAGGTTCCACGGCTTCCGGTCTATGGAAAGTATTCCACAACTTGCTGGTTACCCTCAAATCCTTCCTTTGAATTACGCCCTCCTTCATCTTTGCGGCTAAACCCTCACCGACTTCATTCTCGTTTTCGTACACATGGGCGCAGTCGATATGTCTGTAACCAATATCAATAGCATCTTTCACAGCTTGAGTTACTTCTCCAGGCTTCGACTTCCAAGTACCCAAACCAAAGGCGGGATACTCTGTGCCATTGTTGAACTTGATCTTTGGCACTTTTGCAGCGTAATTAAAACGCAGCACGCAATATTCCACGCTTTTACTAGCCAGCAATTTAGTTCCATTCATTTTTAATGACACTGCACGTCATGATTAACGCTCAAAGTAATTGAAAAAAAAAAACAATTAATTATCAAAAAAAGGTACTGTTTTAACTCAACTTATCATCAGCAAAACACCTGAGAATTATATGTGGAAGGTATTGAACTAAAAGTGTCATCAACTTGTAAATAAAATAATTAATTTCTTCATTGCACATTGTAATTACAATTCTAACATTTTTTAAACAAATATGTGTACATTACATCCTATAAGAGAGATAGAGATGAAACAGAAATAGAATAAAACATGTATAATAAATAAAAAAAGAATTACCTAGCGCAGCAGAAAACCACCGTCCCCTTTTGATTTACAAAGAAGCGGATGCGCCGGGTTAATGGAATGAAATATTTGTGCTCGTTATATTCGTTGTGATATAGTTTGTTGTTTTTTTCTTGCGGGTGTAAAGAGGATTTAAAAAAGAAAAGTCATCGGATTTTGGTAACGAGGAACAGTGGAGTCTCTACTGCATATCATCATAATACGTATGTATATGTAAAATAAAATTGGTAAAGCGATAACTTTAGTGTGTGGCTATGGAAACATTCCAAGATGAGCCGAGTTATGATCACATTAAGTAGAGAAAATGCACTCGCATAGTAAAAATATTGTAGTTCTCCGCTAAAATAAAAACGTCCGACTCGGGTATCAAAAATATTTGCTCCGAAACCATATGCAGTTGGTACGAAATTCAATTAGCCTCGGCCACTTTTCGCTTGCTGTTCCGTTGCCAGAACTTCCTTTTCCCCTTTTCCTGCAGACCTTCCGCTTTAGCCTTGTTACTAGAGGGCAGTATCTTCTTAATCCAGCTTTTTTTCCCGCTTGATTTCTTCTCCTTTACCGAGTTTGCCTCCTCCGTAGAACTGTCGCAATTGTTTAAATTCTGCATGCTGTTAAACTTGACACCCTCCTTCTTTGATTTTGACAAACCATTTGCTTGAATTTCAGGTATTGCAGGTTTATACAAACTCTTGGACGGTGCTTGATGGGACACGGCCCTAAAATTAACAAAATTAAGACCTTTTGCGATCATCCGTATAAAAAACAAAACCTGTTTAAATTGGGCTTCTTCACTTCCTTTTCGGACATCTTTATGGAATTGTATAACTTGTCCCAGAAATTCCATAATTTGTTAGATCTATCGTAATAGAGTATAACATAACATTTGAGCTCGAAAGGCACTTCGCAAGGCGTATACATGCAAGGAATCACTTTCCTCATCTTCTGGTCTGCAATTAGCAAGTCATTATTGTAAAATCATCTGTAAAATGTAATAGTAACCTATGCCAATGGCTTGAGCGAATCTGAGGAAAAAGTTGTTTTCATTGCTTGCCAAAAACGCGGGAGAGAGTATCACAATTAATCGGTTGCAACGCTCCGCTATCAACTTGATTATGGTGTCGTGTTCGAAAGCACCACCAACCAAATCACGGTCTTTGACGCAGAACTTCAAGTTCTTTTGCTTCTCCATCTCGATCACCCGCGTGGCAAAATTTATATCTTCGTCGGCAAACAACACAAAAGCATCATAATTCTGTGGCTCTAAACCCTGGCTAATCCTGCTAACATCATCTACAGTTAAAATTTTCCTATCAGTGTTCAAACTAGTGCTACTGCATTGCCCATTGGCTTGCTCTTTGTGTTGCTTAATGTCCTCCTCTGAAACACCACATAGTTATATATTTAGAGTAAAAACAAATTTTCAAATACTTTCAATATTACCTAAGTAATCTTTAATATCATAAATCACATCAAACCTATTCAACTCCTCCAAATATTTGAGGAAATTTCGAATTGTGCTTTGCGTCTTGTCCTTTTCCGCCCATAAGTTGAGCAGCTTCAGGGTCGGATCCAATTCCGTTTTCAAATTCGGTATCTTCTCGCCGCCAATGCCTATCAGCTCGGCCAATCCAAGCCAGTACCTTAAAAAAAAACAAGTAGGCAACCAGTCATGCAATCAGCTGTTTGTACTTTCTGATACAACACGAAACATTTGTTTTGAAAGTAGTTCAATCAATAAATATGTTAACGAGCAATTATACTAATCATATAATTACCGTGGCAACCCCTTCTCTGTGGGTATGACCTTTATTGGATTAAGCAATGAAGATAGAAGGCTCTTGGTACTGCTCTTCATTGCCCAAATGGTCACATTATATAGGTCCTCTTCATCTGCCTGTCCATTATTGCTATCTGCCATCGTCTATAATACTAAATGTTAATATTTAAGTGGAAAAAATTAACATTAACATAACCTTGTTCCAGGGCTTTGTGTGTTACCAGATGGTAGTTGATTGATCCAGAAGACAAAATAATTGGTTGGTCGTGATGTCGCGAGGCCCAATCTAAAGCATCTCTTCACGTGCTTATGTTGAACATTAAATAATTTCATCAAAAAGCAATCTCTTTAACAAATTAATTAGAGTCTGACAACGTTCGTATGACATTTCTTTTGGGTGTGGGAAAGTTTAAGCAATACAAAATACCAAACTATTTATCCAATATCGGCAATTTAAGAAATATATGTAAGTAAATATAAAAAGGATTTTTTAAGCACCAAACAAGGAATTAACATTAAGCAAGGCTTCCATTGGAGTTCATTGCTATGAATATTTCAATAGTTTATGAAAAAACAAGTGTTGGTACCAATGATTTGTTGGGTAAAAAGTATACATCATCGACATTTAGGTATTACATGGTAATTTTAGTTTTGGTCAGTTGCCAGTCATTGCCAGTTGTCAGTTGCAGGCAGCGCTTAACCACGCTGAAAACAACTTTCATAACCTCATAATTCAAATTACAAATAAATACACGTGTTTTTAGAGTTAAGTTAATAGCAAAATGGGAAGAAAAGCTAAATTCAACGATGGAGTTCTTGTCAAGAAAGGTCCTGGTAAGAAGGCAAAGAAGCAGGGAGAACCGATTATCCCAGTTGCATTGAAAGGTAATATAACTTTGTACTATTTTTAAATTATTGTCTACTTAGAATGTTATTATTTGTAGATAATGAAGGTCCCAAAAAGTTAAGTAGGCATCAACAGTTAAGAGCTAAAAAACGTGAAGAGAAAAAAAAGGAATCAAAAGAGAAACAAGTCAATAATAAGAATAAAAATAAGAAGAAGAAGCAAATCAGCAAGTATAATAGTGATGATGAAGAATCAGAGGAAAATGACAGTATTGATGAGGATATGGAAGGTGAATCCGAGGAAGTTGATGAGAGTGACAATGAGGAAGAGGTTACAGGTTTCACAGATGATAACAAATCATGGTTGAAGCCTAAACAACAAAGTAAGTCTAAGAAGCAAGTTGTTGAGGAGAGTGAAGATGATGAAGATAATGAAGAAGAGGACAGTGACAATGAAGAGATGGAGGAAGAAGAAGAAGAGGAGGAAGCAGATAATGATGAAGATTCTGATATATCTGAAGAAGACGATGAATATGGTGTGAGTAAAGATGATGAAGATAATGAAGAAGAAGAGGCTGAAGATGATGATGAGTTACCAATTGAAAAAGAAAGTAAAAAACTAAAGAAGGAAATGGCTCAAATGGAAAAAGAAGCCGAAGAAGAATTACAGCTGAATATCAAGGATCAAGAGAAATTTGAATTTCCAGAGACTTACGATATTGAACAGCTCACATTGCAAGATGTGCAGCAAAGGATTAGAGATGTTATTGTAGTGTTGTCTGATTTTAGCAAACTGAGGGATGCCAACCGATCTCGTACAGATTATTTGGAATTACTTCTAAAGGATCTGTGTGCATACTATTCATACAATGAATATTTGATGGATAAGTTGATGCAAATGTTTCCTTTGAATGAATTACTAGAATTTTTAGAAGCATCTGAGGTACAAAGGCCTATGACAATAAGAGCCAACAGTCTTAAGACTAGGAGGAGGGATTTAGCTGCAGCTTTAATTAATCGTGGTGTAAATTTAGATCCAATTGGTAAGTGGTCTAAAGTTGGCTTGGTGATCTATTCCTCTCAAGTACCAATGGGTGCAACACCAGAATATTTAGCTGGATACTACATGATCCAAGGCGCTTCCAGTTTATTGCCAGTAATGGCTTTGGCTCCACAAGAGAATGAACGTATTTTAGACATGTGCGCTGCTCCAGGTGGAAAGGCCTCTCATATTGCTGCAATAATGAAGAACACTGGATGTTTGTTCGTTAATGATGTTAACGAATCTAGGATTAAAGCAGTTGTGGGAAATTTCCACAGAATGGGAATAATCAATTCTGTAATTACAACAGTTGATGGTCGCAAGTTCCCTAATATTATCAAAGGATTTGATAGAGTTATATTAGATGCTCCTTGTACTGGTACCGGAGTTATCGCAAAAGATCCAAGCGTGAAAGCGAGCAAAGATGAACTTGATCTTCAGAGATGTTTCACTCTGCAGAGGCAATTATTATTGGCAGCGATAGATTCAGTGAATGCAAAATCGCAGACGGGCGGATATATCGTATATTCTACTTGTTCAATTCTACCAGAAGAAAATGAATGGGTGGTAGATTATGCACTCAAAATGAGAAACGTGAAGCTTGTAGAAACTGGCCTGGACTTTGGAACTGATGGCTTCACGAATTATCGCAATCATCGTTTCCATCCATCATTAAAGATGACGAAGAGATTTTATCCACACACCCACAACATGGACGGTTTCTTTGTAGCTAAACTAAAGAAGATTTCTAACTCAATTCCGAGCGATGCAGATAAAGTGGTTGTTTCTGAAGACGAAGTCAGTAATGACAAGAAACAATCATCTTCCGAAGACGAAGCGCCGAAGAAGGAGCAGATGACCAATGGAAAGAATAATAAACAGAAAAGGAAAGCTGAGAATAATGACTCATCATCATCACCAAATAAGAAACAGAAACGCGAAAATGAAGATAAAAAGGATAAATCTGACAACAAATCGCCGAAAAATAAATTCGTTAAGAAGAAACAGTTTAATAAAGGTTCATCAGCATCTCCAAATAAGAAACAGAAAAGCGAAAATGACGATAAAAAGGATAAATCTGAAGACAAATCGCCGAAAAATAAGAAATTCAACAAGAAGAAACAGTTTAATAAGCGACCCACTAAGTCAGATTCCAGTCCGGTGAAAGGAAATGCAGAAAAGAAAACTGGAACGAACGCAAGTCCAGCGAAAGGAAAAGCACAGTACAAGAATAAGAAAAATTTTAAGAAAACGAAATAATTGTTAGTTCAGGAGCGAAAATAAGTTATTTATGTTAAACTTACTCCCGTATTTGAATGACCTACAGGCAAATTTCACATGCAACTAAATCATCTTTTTGTAATGTTTGTGGAATTTCAATGATGCTAATGAAATCGTTTTATATTTGTTACTAAGTACATTTATTTCAGTAAAATGTTTATCTAACTAATCTTCCTTTTCATATTCACATTAAACCTATAATAATTTTCGTAAATATCTTAAGTATTCAAAGATTCATATATAGTTTTTGCAGAATGGACTAATTTTTATTTTATATAATTGATAATGACATAACATTTATTGCGAGATACTTTGTAAATGAAATAAATGGAAAACTATTTACAAATATGAAGTTTTAATTATATTTTAAGTTATGTTACATAGACAACCAAGTTCACACAAATGTATGTTTCATTGTATTCATTTCCATTAAAATTTGAACTATTTTCAAATGTCTTCTCATTTTCAATTACTTGACAACTAAGAAAGCAAATTATATCAACGAATAGTCAAATTAATGCTGAAAATCTCACATTTCCAATAAAACTATTAAAATATCAAAACCGTCTTCACGTTTTATTTATTTTCAAGATAATTCAACAAGAATCATTAACTGGAGATAAGGTGCACTAAAATATTCTAGTACCTAGATATTTGAAAGGTGCGATTATTTTTACTATATTTTGTTAAAATCACAGATTGATATATATTTTCAATTTCCCTTAATAACTCGAAAATTATGTATTTTCTCTCTTATTTTATTGAATAATCATGTACGGGCTGGAGTTGTGCAACTCGTATAATAATTATTCGAAAGTTACATAATTTTTTCATGTTTTATTATTGCATAAGAAGTGCTCAATTATAAGCAAGTTAGTTTCAATAAATATGTATGTTATTAAAATTATTTCTTTTGGAATTGTAATTTATTTAATGGGAATATAACTTATAAGGATGTGTTAACTTTACTTTATAAACAACCGTTCAGTTAATGATGAAATAATGTATTTATTTATAACTTTACTTAATTATATTTATAACAATTTCCATTTAAATATATCATCTCTTTTTACTCCTGACTTCATTGTATCTGTCCATAGCATTAAGAGCGCATTGCTGACTAGCAGCCTCAGCATAAATCTTCTTAACCTTCTCTTTGCGAACGGTATCACTGAAAAAATAATATAAATAAATACAATTGAATTGAAATAAATTGAAGTGGAAACGCACCTTTGAATCTTTTGATTAATTTTAACCCTTCCCAAGAAAGCTTTGTCCCTCCTGATCTCTCGGATCGCACCCTTCTTCTCCTTTTTAATTTTATGCAGCAATTTGTCGCGTTCTGCCTTCTCCTTGCTTTGAGACTTATGCATTTTTCTATCGAATATTTTAACTATATTTGGCTCGTACAACCTCAGAGCTTTCGGTTTCTTTTTCTCCATAACAACATATTCGAGAGTTCTATTGTTTTTGCCTTCATCTAAAGTTTCCAGAAAACTGTTTAACGATTTACTTAAAGATTCCGGATAGTTTTCTTTAGGTAGTTGGCTCAAATAATTGAAAGCCGTTTCGAAGATTTCTGGACACGAGGATAGCGGTTGACAATTTGAGTGAAAATACTTCAAGAGACCTAAAGAGACGTTGATCGCTTTAATCCTAAAAGCGTCGTCGAAGTCTTTTACATCTATCAAGTCTGTAACGTCCAGTTTCGGATTGTCAAAAGTTTCCACTTGTTCTGCCAATACAAGACTGGAAGATATATGCTTGAACGGTGGAAGAACTTTGATCTGTCGCACTGTTACCTTCGGTATTGCCATATGCAGAATTCCGCAAAGGAATTTGATAGACGCTGGAGAATATCGCTTTGATAATGTAGTGTACTGAAAGGTAAAATAGTATTAATGGTAATTAGTAAACTATAAACAATGATAATACCTCTGCAATTAATGAAACCAAAAATAGTCCATATGCAACGTTAGCCCTGGTTTTTGCCTTGCACCAGGTCAGCATTTGTTCCATAAATACTAAGCTAGGAGTAACCACAAGATGTCTAAAATCAGAAGTCGAAAACAGACAGCTTCCTAACTTCAAATATAATAAGACTTCGACGGTCGGGAATTTTGTTGGCTTTTTCCTATATTCTGCCTGCTTCTCTTTGAAAACTTCTATGAGAGACCGATGAGAGGTCTCTGGATTCAACTGGGCCAAATCAAAGAATTGTGGCGTCATGCATGCAAATACATCAAAACAATGCTTAACATCTTTGCAATCTTCAATGTCGCAACAAATATCGCTCAGATGTTGAAGCAGATACGCAAAAAGATGTCCGAGCTCATCCTTGTTACCTTCTTTAAGACTAGGATGATTGCATTTGATCATCCTTTCAATTATAACACTTTGATGGTGACTAGGTTTGTCTTTGAGAAGTTCTTGAAGTTGCTCATAATTCTCTGGCAATGCAAAAGTGTATGGAAGCTCTTTCCTGGCTTCTTCCATCATTTCCTTTCTAAACATCAAATCTTCCTTGATTTTTTCAGGATCTTTGATATCCAATTTTGATCTCTTCGTTTCATCCTCCTCGGGTTCGTCCAACTTATGTTTGCCATTGATCAATTTAGTTGCAGATTCCTTCTTGCTGAGGACTTTAGCTTCTACAATGGGGATATCCTCATCCTCACTACTGCTTTCTTCATCCTCCTTCAAGTCAGACATATCATCTTCTGATTCTGTTTCCAATTCTTCTTCCTCAACTTCTTCTTCAACATCTTCATTTTCGTTTTCTTCCTCCTTGTCTTCATCTTCCATTGGTACATTAGATTTTCCATCATTGTATGATAAAGTAACATCAGGAGTGTCTGAATCATATGCAAAATTGTCGTCCAAATCATCAGCGCTACGATGTACAATTTTAGTTGATGCAGCGTCAAACACATTGCCCTTCATGCGCTCCAACCTTTCACGTTCTAATCTAAAATAAATATAATAATTAATACCCAATAATTTAAGAAAAATATCACCACCTTAAATACTAATTAGAAGATTAAACTTACCTTTCCAATTTGTCCTTTTCTTCTTTAGCAATATCATCTTCAGTCTTGAGTTTATCTGAAGGAGTTCCCCTAGCTTCAAATTTTAGCTCCCTCATCACTTTATCATAATCATCAACTTTAGCAGCAGCAAGTTCCTCCTCCTTCTTGTTGCTATTCGTCACAATAGGTAAAAGATCTTTCCACTCACTGTCCAATTTATCAGTTAAATCAGAGTTTGCCATCTTTTGTTTTTGCATCTCAGCTTTCCTTTTCTTTGATTCCATTATCAGTTGCTCAATTAAATCTTTATGAGATTTTGCACCATCTGCTTTCTTCAACATACCACCACCGAAATGAGCATCTTCCACAAAACTGGAATCCAGTCTTCCAGAGTTCCTCTGCCCATCCACTTCATCATCATCATCATCTGAATGTGGTACATCTTCAAACTTTTCAATCTCACTAAGTGTTTGACCCTTGTGTGTCAACACCTCATCATCAGCCAAATTATAAATGGATTTCTTCTTGTGTTGATTCATTCGCACTGCTGTGTATCTAGCTATAGACTTTTCATCTGCAGAAAGTGATCTGTTCTTCTCCCCAATACGCTTATCTGTGAACTGGTTGCTTTTATTTTGCACTTTGTATTCTGGTAAAATGGTGTTCTTCCTCTTCTGCAAGGCTTTGGCACGAGACACACCAGGCAAACCTCTATCATTCTTGGCTTTTTTCCCAAGCACTCTTATTTTCTCTTTGTTTATGTGGACCTCAAAGGGATTTAATACTTTCTTGTTCTTTGAAGCTTTTTTATCGTTCACGGACTCAGCCGTGTTTCGTTTCTTGTTTTTCACTTTCACCATAGCTAACTTCTAATGTTTTCTTAGGTTAGTAAACGAATACACGTGCAGTTCAAATCCTAATGACATTTACAGGAGAAGCACAGCTTATGAAAACATTCTTGTTTGGCCATTGAGATGGCGCACTTGTCGACATATAATTCTGCCATTAAGTGTAATGTAAGGTGTGAGTTAAGTTGCATACTTCCACTTTTTGTAGAATGTGTCTAGTTTCTTATAGAAAATTAGATACTAATGTAATAAGATCAAAGAGCAAAGCAGTATAAACAAATATTAGATAGAAATTAAACCAAGAGTCTTCAGCAAGTGAAAAGTACATATAGTTCCCAAACAGTAACTGAAAGGTTAAAACATAGGGTGTTGCTTAAAATATTTATAATTTTATGGACATATTTATTAAAAAAGTATTTTTATTGAACACTAAGTAATTTGATGACACAAATATACTTAACTAATTAAATTCCAGTCTTAAAATAATTATCCTTTATTCAATAAATAACAATTATTCTCCCACTTAAATCTGATCCAGTGGTTTGTATTTTGTTGGATATAAACAGAACAGAGATAGCTGAATGGCAGATAAAACACTGCCTAAGAAGTTAGGAATCTGAAATGTTAAAGCTATTCAATAAGAGAATTATATTATTTTCTGTATGATTTACCTGGACAAACTGATCTTTAATTATTAAACCATATGCATACCACTGACATGAAACTAGAAAGCTTGTCAAGATAAGTGGAAATGGCATGCTCTCTGAGCTTTTCACTTTAATAACATGCATTAATGTGGAGAATGGTGCAGCAAAGAAAATTATAGTCATGATGCAGCATAGAGTGCCTATATGACTGCGAACAGCTTCTAATTCTTTCTCATCAGATTCATTTCCAGTTGAGGAATAGAAAAGTATTGCTATCAAAATCAGCATGCATAGGAGGAATTGCCTTACAACAGCCCACTGCAAACAATATAATTTAATGATGATCTCTCAAGTCTTTAACACAACTTACTTTTTTAATACTGTAAAAGTAGAATGTTAAAACATAAGCAAAAAAGAGTGTAGCACCAATAGTGTTGACTAAAATTATGGATCTTTCCTGTATTATAAATCCATATCGAAGCCACAAGCTGGTTGATAAACATCCACTAATGAAAGGGAATGCAGATATGTCACCTGTGCTTCCTTTTTGCACAAAGTTTTGGCACACCAGGCTAAAAGAACGGTGTAACGTGAAGCTAATATGAACTGGTAACCACTTACGTTCCAGAGAGAAATTGCAGAATTGTACAGATTGATGCTGAAACTGCTATAAAGTCCTTAAAATCGTCTAGATTCAGCATTTTTATGGTTTTATTAGATGTCAAGGTTTCGTGCCGCACATTATCAAGTATAGAAGGCTTATAAACAAATGGAAATAAGCAAAACTATGTTATCTAGTTAAATTCTGTGTTATCTGGTGCGTCAGTGTCACGTATTCTGTTATTTTGGCCAACCTGATTGTCTGAATTTAAACATAACCTTTACAATTTACTTGCTACTTGTTAGTAAACAATTCTTAAATTTAATTAATTTACTTTTGATATTAATCTGCAATAATTTGTTATATAAGACAACAACATTAAACAATACAATTATAATTTTGTAGTATTTTATTATAAACTTTCAAATTAAACTTAATTAATATTTCTTAAAAAATCATCTTTATTATTCATATTACTAACTCGCAATTGGACATTTAAAAATCCAATTAAACTAAATGATGTCAAACAAATATTATTAGCAAAATAATTAAAAAAATAACAATTCCGGCAATGATTGCGACCGTGGTCCATTTCTGTAAAGTAAATCAGTTAAATCTTCGTATTTACAAAATAAAGAAGTATACATACTCGATGTTTTTTCTTTCTTCTTCTAGCACTTTCCAAATCTTTAACAGTTTGACCTAGGTACTCGTTCGCATTCTCGGCATGGTATTGAATACGGTTTATGTTCTCTTGCTACAAATTAAGAAATAACATTTACTCAAACCACCTAAATCATACCTTTAAATTTACCTGTTCTGCGACTAAAACAGCCATCTTCATGAACAAAGTTTTAACTTCCATCAAATGCGACTCTATTGTTAAAAGTTCTTTATGTCTGGCTTCTATATCAATCAATTGTTCGCGAGCTTCCTTTTCTTCTTTCAGATACTAAAAGATCTTTTAATAGGACATTTTGTTTTTATAAAAAAAGGTGTACTTACATCTTGTATAAACATCTGACATTCCACCGAATCTAAATCATTATTTAAATCTTCCTCGCTGAACGCTTTTCCGCTTACTATTGCATTGCATTTTTGTAGAATCTCTTTCCTGATGTCGTGATGTTTCTGCACGCAGTTCTGGTGCTTCTCTAAAACGCTCTTGAATCGAGAATTTATCAAATTATATTGGACATATTTCATTCTGTAATTGGTAGATCGTTTTTCTGGTTCAACGCTATTCAGGTCTTCACGAAATTTCTTCAACTTCGTTGCAATGTTGTACGAAATTGCCTCGGAATCCTTGAAAGTCGAGTACAATTTCTCCTGTTCTTCTACAAATGTTTGTTGCTTACGATTGTGTCGCTTTGTTAATTCAAATGATAATTACTTGCGGATGTTACATTTGCTAAGCTGCTCAGAATCCGCTCGCAATCGTCGGTGTTTCTCTCGATGGTATTGATCCATTGCGTTACGATCTCCGGTTCTTCGAAGACGCTCCGACGCTGATTTTCCGTCGAAGATTTCTTTTTACTTTTCTTTTTACCTTCATTCTCCACGAAAAGAGCTTCCTCCTAATTATCCATTATTTAGCGCTTTTTTTTGTCGAGTGTATTCATTGTATTCACCTGCAATTCGCTCAGCCGATCCTTCGTTGGCATCGTCACCTGGTACTATCGAATCACCGCTTATCACGCCTGATAAGCCCACCTCTTCTACAAATAAAACGTTATTTTTCTATACTTACATAAAACAAGTATATATCATAGGAAGGAGTAGATGTATAGATATAAACTTAATACTGTGCTGAAAAATAAACATTTATTGAAAAATAAAATGAAAAGTGTGTAGTTTATTATTTACCATTTTGTTTCAAAATCATAAATCAATCAATAAAGCGATTTTGATATCATCAGAAAGGTACATATGCAACCTAAACTAGAAAGAATTTCCGTTTTACTGTAGTCTGACTCGCTCCAATCGCCTTTACTAATGTTAGGCGAGCAACAATTAGCACGCTTATTTATAGTTTCGTCATGAAAAAAAAAATGGAAACCTTGTGCATCTATCAATGCTAATTAATATATATTTGTAGAAACTAGTATAAAACAAACTGTCTACATAACAAAAAGGAACCAAATTATTTACATTATATTTCGTTATATTTGGATATAATCTCAACTCTCACGTTTTCATGATTCTCCGATGCTTACATACGTTGAATTGCTTTAATTTCACAGTTGAAACATCTCTAGATGTGCAGCAATTGTCATGTAAATCAATGACCTTGAGTTACCGAAGCAATTGAAATGTTCTCCATTACCTTTGAGTCCCCTATTTTTATAAACTTACCCTCAAAATGCCTGTTTTGGGATTATTTTTTTAAATAAAATAAAACAACTAATATGTAACAAGAAATGGTTAATTATTTTTAGTTTTGGTAAAAATAACACAAGTTAAAAAATTCACGGTACAATTATCAACACAAATTTAATAAAAAAAAAGGAAAACATCTGCACCTTCCTTCGTCGTGTTGACTTCTTCCACTTTTCTTAAAGACTGCAAGGCTTTAACGAATATCCGTCGTAGTTAACAGTTTATATTTTTTTAATGAGAAAGTCGCACTTCGAAAAAAAAACAAATTAACGAGAAAACCGGCCTTAAGTGTACAAATAATTAGGAAGCAATATAAACAGTGCGCGAAAATATCAATCGACTTTGTTGAAAATGAAAAATGTAACAAAATCACGATTATTTATATATATCACATGTGATGTGTTGATACATGGAAATAATTGGTTGGTGATGTAAGTGTAGTTTATTTTCGTGAATCGAGTCTGTTTCTCTGTGTTGTAGATGTACTTCTTTTAAATGATTTGTATCACAATTTTAGATTAGCCGGTGGGCGATGATATCTCGATTGGAAAGAATGATCCAATCTCCTGGACCCTATGTCATTTGATCCTCTTCACCGAGTTCTTCAGGTAATCTCCGACGATGATGAAGCGACTGTTGTATGACAAATCTGCGGGCACGTATCCTTCTTGGTTCCTCAGGTTCGGATCTGCACCGGCGGCCACAAGTTGTTTGCACACCGGAAGACAACCGACGAGAGCAGCCGCATGCAAAGCGCTCTCCCCATTCTGCAAACATTAAATATAGAAATAATATTATTTTCTTAGAGAATATTGCTGTGAGTGCATGAAGATAAATGGAATGCCAAAAATAACGCACTTACCGGAAGCAAACCCAATGAGGGACTATATTTAAGCAGTTCATTAACAACGGCCGAGTGACCTTTGTGAGAGGCTTTGAACAACGGCGTCGCTCCGTCCTGTAAAAACATACAAATCAAATTAGATTACAGCAAAGATATAAAGAAATAATTGGGAAAGACGCAAATGAATCTTCATTCAAGTGAAATTCCATCGGTTAGAGAAATTAATACAACCGTCGCGCGGCCCTGAAACATCCAAATATTTCGAAAGAAACCGGATTTTCCTTGTAGGCTCCAAATTTTCCCCAATTCGTATAATAATTATATAATATCAGATGTTATGTGTACGCCCGATTTTGGAATGCATTTTAATACGAATTTACAATTCTTGGCATGAGATGTTTCTGAGCAGGAAACCGTTCGGTCCCATTGAGTTTTGCGAACATAATTTTTAGACTTACGTGTCTTGCTGCATCCACTCTTGCACCTGCCTTCAGCAGTTGCGCAACTATATGGTCATGGCCCATTTGGGCCGCGATCCACAGAGGCGTTGCACCATCGGTTCTTCTGGTGTCCGGTTCGAAGCCTTGCGCCAAAAGGTAAATCAGTATTCTGTAATGTCCATTTTGGGCAGCGATGAATAACGGCGTCGCTTTGTCCTGAAATAAATAACAGAATTAAAAAAAAAAATATGACACGTATTCGAAGAACTAAAGTCAATAAATAAATGTTGCCTTAGCGTGTTCAACTTCCTTTACAAGCAAAACGAAGGTGTCTCTTGAGAATGGATTACGTTAATAACGAAAAGTGTCTTTAAACTACTTCTTGTTATTGATTCGTAGTTTACGAAATACAAAAATAACTCACTCTCAATACATTTTAATTAATCTTGATGTTATTCAATCGTCGTTTCACTTACGTAATGTCGATAGAAGTGCACGTGAAAGGAATGGTCTGTTATTTTTTTTTGCATAAAATAACGCAAAGAAAGTCATCGATAAAAATAATTGGTGGATCGGTACAGCTTTAGTAATAATCTTGGAATATCTTCAGCACGAGTTTCAGAGTCAATACAAAACTTATAAAGCATAAGATTGTCGACATGACTAAATACAATAAGCTATTGTATTCGATATACCAGATAATAATAAAACCCTTCCTTCTAGGATTTCTTGGAAGTGTGTTATCATCCATGATTTGTTATTCACACTGAGACTTTCTTTGAGAAATATATTTTTTGTTAAAAAATATTTTGAAAAATATGTTTTTTTTTTCAATTTATTTACTTTATTTTGTAGACTTTTGATTTTAGAGAAAATGTTTACTATATATAATTTGAAATTAATAAAAATCATTGATTTATACTCAAAAGATAAACGAAACCAAAACATGCATTTTGCTTATTCAAATATATAATTCAAAAAGTCTTGTACTACCGCAATTATCGTAATTTGTAATGTAATGTAATAATGTTTGTGATTCAAGTAAAACACGAAATCAATACTTTCCACTTACACCTTTCGACCACTTTTCACTTTTATATCCCGCAAAATCCAACCTTTTTCACCTCACGTAACCACAGATTTATCCCGAATCATCTATTACAAACACCAAAAACTTTTTCTTAGCTTTAATATCTTATATATATATATAACTTGAATTTACCAAAATTGAAATAGTTCAAGTGCAATACAAGGAATTTATTAATAAAATATATAATTAAAACTTGTTTTATCGTCTTTATGCAACATTTGTAACGTGAAATTCATATTATGAAATTAATCATTCTCACCTACACAATTGCTTTTCACTTTTATATATCTTTTAAACATCACGTAGTATTAATCTGAATCAATTCTCTTCCAAAACAAATAAGAAAACTTTCTCTTATTTTCGATACTTCTTAAACTGTTGAGTTCTACTAAACTCAAATTTAAAAAAATAGTGCATACCTTCATGTGCGTGTTAATTTTGGCACCTCGTTCCACCAATTCTTTGACGATGTCCATGTGTCCGCATTGGCACGCGACGAAGAGCGGACTTCCGCCGTCCTGAGGAAAACAAGAAAGATAGAGAAAAAAAGTAAGCCAAAGCGAATCCAGGTTAAGCGGCAACAAAAGTGGTCGTAATTAACGGTTTCGTTATGCAACAGAGCTACATTATTATTTTTTCATTAATCGAAGAGCCGGTCGTTCAACTTTTCAGATTCGTTTCGTATGTTTGTAACGTTGAAAAATAACAACAACAAAAAATTATAATAGTTGTGTACTAACGGGTCTATATTGAAATCCTGACAACCATGATCCCGACTATATCAAAAAAAAGTTTTGTTTACTTTTTTATAATAAAAATATTATTTTATTTTGAAGTTATCAAAATGTAGTAGATGGTGACTACGCTCTGGAATAATTTTAAAATGTTATTGTAAAAATTTGTATACTAAAAGATATTAACGGGATTTTTATACAGTCGGGATTTTGATGCAGTAGGGATTTTGTTACAGTCGGCTTTTTGATACAGTCGGGATTATGATACAGTTGGGATTTTGATATAGTCGGGATTTTGATACAATCGGGATTTTGATACAGTCGGGATTATGTTTGTCGGGATTTTGATACTTTCGATATTATGGTTGTCAGGATTTCGATTGCCACTGATACTAACCACGCTTGTGGAATCCACTGGTGCTCCATTGTCCAAAAGGAGTTGGACGATTTCGTAGAAACCGCATTGGGCAGCAAAAAAGAGCGCCGTTGTGCCTGTCTGAAATGAGCGAGGATGAGTATTACCGTTAATCGGACCCGAAATTGGATAATTACCACGCGACATGCGGCCGCATCTGCTCCTTGGTCCAATAACTCTTTGACGCACTCGAGATGACCGTTCGCAGAGGCGAGAATCAAAGGAGTCGTACCTTCCTGATAAAGTAACAAAAAAAAAATAGAAAAGTATTAAAGACATCCTCCAAGGAATACGCTTTTTTAATACTGCAGTTTATTTTAAGTGCAAACTATATTTTATGACCTACTTTCGAACCTATTCACCGGCTAAAAATACATTCTGCACCAGTTAGAATGAAAAGAATAAAATAATAACAACAACAACGCCGAGAGAAACATTAAGGGCACCATTGATTCGCGCGTTTTGATGCCAAGGCTAGAACAATGATCACCGCAAATTGCATGTTCCTCTTTGAATTTAGAGCTGCGGCGCGACTTTCGCATCAATCCTTATGCAATATATGCGGCGGTTCGTGCAAATGCAATTTCACCGGCGCGCGATATGCCTATTAAATTCAACATCAATGATTAACGAGAGTGGAGCGCGCATTCCTCGTCAATCGCACGTGGATGGGCACGCAGCAAATACAATTGCAATTAGCGAACGCATTTTTTTCTTTCCGCGAGAGAAAGTCCTGGAATTGGAACGATCAACTGCACTCGAAGAATGGAAATTTATTTGTGTGTGTGTATATGTTTTCGATCCGTCCGGATACAAATAAAACCGCAAACAGAAAATCTCGCTCTCTCTCGCTGCCCGCAACGGGACCGTGATTTCGTTCACATCGTTGCGTAACGTTTCTGTGTTCATTTTCTTCCGAATCATATTTATAATTGCACGCTCGCTCGCATATGATTTACGTTACGTTTCCTCCGATTTACATCGCCTGATTTACATCCTAATTAGGCGAAAGGCATTTCCTTCGTCGCGTTTCCTCGCTAGTTCAATAGTCCGTGGAATTCCAATCTCCGTGGATTATTTAATAAACTCCTGCAAATATGCAGTTCAACTTTCGTAATCTATCTATCTGTTGTGCCGAGTGTTATGTCATTGATGCTCGGAAATAAGGATAAATAACACGGCGCGAACCGTTCTCTTCTCTATACAGATTCCACTCGAGTTTGTTGTCACGGACTAGCTTCTTAATTGGATTGGCTTACCTTGTCTCTAGAATCTATGTGGACTTTTCCGCTGTCGATGATCTTCCTCACTCCTTCTACATCGCCTCGCATCGCAGCCTGATGTAGCTGCACATCCGACAGCGATTCTTTCTACAAACAAAATTAATAAAAATCTTTAAAAAAAAATCTACATAAATAAACAAAATTTAATTCAAATTACAATTTTTCATATTGCAACACAGGTATGGATTACGGCCGTGGCTCGGAATGTACTCATACACAATCAATCATGTTATGTAATTCTGCGGTTTCTAATTATCTTCAATTTTGTACTGAACTCGAAACAAACAACAAATATTTTTTGCGACGAACGTGTTTTCAAAACAACTTTACATTTACATGGAAAATAAACTTTCATCCAATGCTGTTTAGTTGTTATTCATTTGCTTTTTCTCCGCATATGCAATTTATTTGCTAAAGCTTTTTTTTATTATTATTAAATTTATAGAAAATACTACTCAACATAACTCGATTGAATATAAGAGAATTTATGGGAATTCATGGGAAGTGCGGCTGTGTCGTATTGATTTCTCAAAAATACAATTTTCGTCTTTTTCATACACGATATAGAAACACTATGCACTTTAGTTGAACAAACAATTAATAAACTAGTGTTTGCTTTGATTGTTTAAATAAAGTAATAGCATTGTCTGTATATTATCAACGATAAGATTTTTTTTGTTTGTTCTATAGTTTTTAGCTGGAAATGCAAAACGAAAATAATTGTGTTATTCTCATTGCACTATAAAATTCATGATTATGGTAATCTTTGCATTGATCGTGCCCTTAAAATCATCAAGAAAAAATCTAGATGTAAGGGAAATTATATTGTTCGAAACGTTGTGACCTTTCGCGTGTTTCATTCCGCATAAAACACATCAAAAGATCAGTCGATAGAGAAGCAGACAGCCGTGCGGCATATTTTACAAGTGTTTTCCTAACAATTACGTAAACGTCGCAGAAAGGTAAATGCATTCCGCGGGAACGCAAACACTAGCATTGGAACGAGCAACAATAACATTAAACTTTAAATAATACGAGCTCAATTTGCGTGATGCATATATTTAGCAATATCGTAGAAAATGTATGCACATATTTCACTTAACAATGAACTTATTAAAAGCTATGCTTCATGCAATATTAAGCAAAATTAATTAGAGAATTTTTAGTAATATATACAAAAAAAAGTGTTTTAAACAATGATAAAAAAAATAGTTTACTTTCATTGTTTAGCGATGGATTTTTATAAATTTATAGACGTGCACCTATTGTAATTATTAGAGTAAGCTTAAAATGATCAATTAAAAAAAATCTTAGAATTTACCTTCAATGACATGATAGAAACTCGCAAGGTGTTTATATTGTTTATATATATATATCTTTTGTTTTGTTGTCACAGGACTCAGGATCACATATGTACTGCCGGCAGGATAACGCAGGTGTCCGCTTCGCCCGCTAGTCCTGCAGCGTCGGCGGGTCGCAGGATATTGAGTGTGTGTGTTTGAAGAAATATTGAGTGGCTGCTTTGGAGCCTGCTTTCACGCGCTCTTCCGAGGACTGCGCATGGTTTTAGCATTCTATTAATAATAGAATGCCGAAGATTCGCTCAATTAACGAGCATTTATATTATAGGCGACAAATTGATTTTGTTGCGGTAAGGTAAGGACGAAGCTCGATCCTTGTGTAAATTAAAGCGAACTTCGCGCATATGAAGTACGACAGAATCGACACCTTGTGCACGCGTCTAAACAGAAGATGATGTATGAGTGAAGCAAAACATTTCGGAAGTTACGAAAATAGTACTAATATACATTGCGTTCTATTTTTAACATGATATAGCGACCAATTGTTGAGTATCCCACATTTACAGCGAGCCAATTCGCAGTTGCCTTAGCTCATAATAAAATAAATGTCATTACGTAATTCACTTGTATACTTATTTGGAAGAATTCTTAATCTGATTGATGCTAGAAAACATAACTAAATTCTCTATTTTGTTAGTGAAAATAATTAAACTTTATAAACAACAACATTTTTTTATAGATAAGACAAAAATAATAATTATACAATTTAAAATTAATTAAAATTTGAAATAGTAGTGAAATATTTTCCAAGAGGTGGCGCTGATCATAACTCAGTCAACTCAGTTATATAAAAAAATATACATATGGTTTAATTACTATAAATAATTAACTAATTTTAATACAATTGTCAATAATCATAAAGATTTTATATATATTATATAATAACATAACCATATTTTTCTATATATTTACTACTCAACTATTAGCTTATTCAATTAGTATAAATCAAAAATTATTTAAATACCACTATTAATATTTGATAAATTATCTTATAAATGAATAACTGTATGTTTAAATGTATATTATCAAGAAAATTGGAGAGAAAATCAAATTTGGCGCCGAATATCATGGTGATGCCTGATGTTGGTAGTCTTGCACGGTGTCCACAACCGAAATATTCTTTTCAACTGCAGCCATTTTGCAAGCAAGACCTCGTGTTTTCACCTAAACCCGTAAGTTTTCAATATCTGTTAATTATTGTGTTTTAAATGTTCCAATAAGCCAAAACTAATTCGTTTACGTATTTTAGATAAACCAACAAAATGGAAAACGACGCCGGTGAATGTGTTGACTTGTACTGCCCAAGGAAATGGTATGTACTTTACTTATACACTTACCACGTGTATTATTTTTAATATTTAGTAACGTAATTTGTAGTATTTTGTAAAGTAATTCTACAAAATTTCAAAATCCAGAACGAATTTCTGTATAATTGTTTAAAAACTAGAAATTACACATCCAATTAGACTTTATGCCTTTAAGTTATTACTAATCCCTTCAATACTTATTGAAATAATTTTAAGCTTATATTGATGCTTGTATCACTAGAATATTTACATGTTTATGTCTTAAACATAACCTTTAATGTATATAAACATTACTCCATGCTTGTACCACTGAAATGCATGTTTATTAGTAGATTCATAATCTCTTTGTTAAGCTTTAACATTGATAGATTTATTAAAGAAATTGTATTTTCTTTTACAGTTCTGCTAGCAACAGGATCATCCATGCTAAGGATCATGCTTCCATCCAAATCAGCTTGGTTGATGTTAACCCACAAACTGGCAGGATGACCGACACCTCCAAGAGCTATGCTCTCTGTGGTGCTATCCGCAGGATGGGAGAATCTGATGATTGCATTGTCAGATTGGCCAAGAAAGATGGAATCCTTTCCAAGTAAGTTAATTTAACTATAAATTTGCTTCATGTAAATTTAAATGAATCACTCCTATTGATATTGCTTATTAATGTTATTTTTTTCTGTTTTAGGAACTTCTAGATTTATTGACTTCATGAAGGTGGTGTTCTTTTTTATAAAATACTGTTTTGTGATTAAATAAATCTTTATTTATAAGGTAAACATTGCCATTATAATTATGTTGTTTTTCCTTAATACTACACAAAATTTCCTATATTCCAAATAAATGATTTAAATATCAAATTTTTGTCAATTCTCTAGTCTGTCTTCAATAAGGCCTAATCTACTTATTGTTTTAATTTATAACATAAAGTTATAAATTTAGGTACAATATATAATTTGTATTATTCAAATTGTTGTTTTTTTTATAATATTTTTGAATATTTGAAGTATTGATACTATGGTATAAAGTAGTAATATTAGAGAAATTAGAAAAACTATTTTGATTGGAACTTTGATTTTCTAAGACGCAGTTCATTAAAATATTTCGTATTCAAATTATGATTATGGAGGGTTCCCATGATAAAAATATATGTTAATTAAAGTAAATAAAGAAAGAAATATTTGATATAATTTATAGAAAATCAATGTTAAACGCTTTTCACATACGCCATTGATAAGATACAAGAGGAAAAGATTTGAAACTGGATGCAATTTCATAAAAGTGTTATTATACTAAGTAGATATTTGAAATTTGTTTCGAATTCTCTCTTACTGCTATGAATTAGACATATCAACTTGGAAGAAAAAGTAAAAAGCCACAAACTGGCAACATAAAAAGCTAAGTTGCATATCTCCGCTTAAAGTATAAGGAACAGAAGAAGAAAACGTTTTCTTATACTAAGTAAATATTTGAAATTAGTTCCGAATTCATCATATAAACTTGGAAGACACAATAAAAAGCTATAAACTGGCAACATGCAGAGCAAAATGGAAGCTAAGTTGCATACCTCCGCTTAAAGTACAAGGAACAGAAGAAGAAAAAGTTTTCATATACTAAGTAAATATTTGAAATTAGTTCCGAATTCTTTTCTTACCGTTATGAATTCGTCATATAAACTTGGAAGAAAAAATAAAAAGCTATAAACTGGCAACATGCAGAGCAAAGTGGGAGCTAAGTTGCATACCTCCGCTTGAACTAGAAGTAACAGATGAAGAAAAAGTTTTCTTATACCGAATTATAAATATGTTCGAAACTGTTCTTCTTTCTTGCCTCATTGAATTATCTTTTCCAACATTTTTTTACATGTAAAAATAGCTGTAACCTGGTTACTACCCTGCTGGATTACCTTTTATAGTTTTATCATGGAAGGTTCCTGTAGTTGCCTAAGTTAATGCATTTTGTTATGGAATTTCAACTGGGATGTATATGCAACACGTCTGTTTTAACAATGAGACAAGTTGCCTACATTTGTAGACCAGCAATACAGGTTTTACTGTAGAAGGTTTCAGTGCATCGAGAGGCCGTGCGGCGTCACACATAACCGCAAACTATTTTCAAAACTGAAAACACTGACCAGTAACTTTTAAATATGGCGGAATGTAGTGACAGTTCGGTATCAGTGAATAATACGAATGTCCCGAAGCAGAAAACGACGCCGGCGGAATCGGGTTGTGCGAAGGAAGAAAAGACTGATAAAGGTAAATTAATAAATTAAGCATCCAGAACTTGGTGTCCTTCGTTGCATCCTCCAGAGCCCTTCAAACATCTGTTCCTAAACTCAAAACCGCTCACATAGTTAAATTACCTATGTGTAGTATCTCTCGGTAGACGAGGCCTCTAGGCTTAAGAAGTTCTTCAGCCTCTGGACGAAATACTCTGCAGGTGCAGTTATTGTTGTCCGGATAACTGCAGAACTAGGTTAGGAAAATTTTGGTGAACGTATCCCCCGTATGACTCATAACATTTGGCATTTAGTAAATAGTTTTGCTGGTAGTTGCGGAAAGGAGAAAAAGAACAGAGCAAAGAAGGAGCAAAATATGCACGGTGCGCGGATGTCGCGTCGCCTCTGATTTTGGCATAGGTTGCTACTGCGTGCTGTTGCATGTTTTCGATTCGGTTGTTCGGCCAATTGAAAATTAATCAACAGGTTATTCAACTAAAAAATGCGCTGCACACGCATTCTGCAGCCTCTATGTGTACGCAATGTTACCAACATGCGTGTGCAACGTGCAACAAATACTTGTAATAGACAAATATCAGTTTTATTGTCCATAGAAACAACGAAAACAACTTATGGAAAGCACCCATAACTTTGTAAACACGGAGAGAGTAATTAGTTGTAATTAACTGCTTTAAACATTACAGAGCACGGATTTGTATGATTACAATATAAATAATGTAAAAAAATATTACTGAGTAACCTCTGACCTTTCATGGATTTGTCTCTAAGGGTCTTTGATACGTATGCATTTCATTGCGAGTCTAAACGTGTAATGCAGATTGAAAGCGAAAAGCAATCCACTTACTAGAACAAAGCGCATATGTCGTATTTATTTATTTACATTATACATATACGACCAGCAGCTTGAATAAAATTACTAACATAAATAGAAGAGAATGCTAATGTTATAAACATGTTATGAGTCATGCGTTGGAGCAAATAATAAGCCGTCCAGATTGTACATTTTAATGAACTAATTAATTGCGGCACAAATTCACGATTGACACACTTATAGTGATTTGTATTATATATATATTTCTTTGAACTAATTCAATAACAAACAACTAACCGAAATTTAGGAAGTATAGAAGAATTCACAATTACGTACTAATAATAGTCACGATATCTATTTACTAATAATAATAACAATGTTTTTTTTATGTATGCAGGATGTTTAATCTTGGTTACTAAGCATTCTGCATTCAAGTTATTAGTTCAGTTTGTCTATTGTGTTAAGTGTCGTTATCTGGAAAGCTAGTAAGTAAAATCCATAATTTCAACGGCAATCATAAATGATACATTTTAGAACACAAAATTTGTTGTGTCTTCACGAAGTCCACTTCATTTCCCCGAAATACATGTTTAAATGTAAGTTGTCTTTTAAAATTTGAAGCGTTTTCTTTCTTTTGCAGTGCTGTCGGTGGAAGAGATGATCACTGGGCTCTGTCCCGAGAGCTTTTCGAGGTTGGAACAAGAGCTGGTGAAGAATCGGATGTTGACGCTGAACTCGAAGGACATCATTGTCTGTCTGGTATATTTGATGATGCTCGAGGAGGGTTTTGTGCCGTCCGCAAAAGCCGGGAAACATAGGAGTCTAACATTTGACCTGCGGCAAATCCTGGATTTAGCCACTTGCATGCCCACTGATTGGAAACGTGCCTCGGATGGCACATACCGCGTCGATTTCGCTTTCATGCAGGACTATTGCAGTATCGTCTGCATTCCCAGTCAGGAGGATCTCATTATTAATTGTGTATCGAACGTGTGCGGTCGATACACTATGCCCGTCGACTGCCGCCTTTTCGTTCTGGAAACCAACAGCAAGATGTTCTTCCAGAATATTAGAATGCTGGCAGTTAATTTCAAGAATTCTATTGCTTTTCCAGCGAAAATGGATATACACACGAAGAACAAGTATCCAGCCGCCTGCCTGAAAGATCTGCCCCTTGAAATGAAACACTACATCTGCAAATACATCGGAAAAACGTTTAGGGAATTCATAAATATTTTAGATGAATAATTTGTTCTTGTGGCTGAAATTTTAAATTTTCTATAATTATTTAATGTAATTTAACCAAATTCTTGTGAACTTAGATATAAGATATTAGATTTTAAGGCATAATATAATATATAAGATATTACATGTAATATTGTTTATTACGCTTGCTACTTTAGTATTTAGAGATTAATAAACATATTTTAAATCAACTTGCAATTTTTATACCAAATTTCAATATTACAACTTCCATTATTTATAGACAAAAATCAATAATTTTTGAATATAATTTATGAGAGTTTTATATATAAAAAAAATTGGTAAATTAATTTTATTAAGTGTAAGTATTGACCCTACAATGTATAGACTTGTATTTGTTTATACTGATTCTTCTGACATATTTTAATTTTACGATTTTTCTTGTTTTCAGAAAATGGACCAATTAATAATGATAATTCCGATTCTCAAAGTAATTTAAGCAATATTGTAAGCCGAATACCAGAATGTGCAGTCACGAATGGAGAAGAGAGTAAGTTCTATTTTTCTGTAATAAATATAAGATGAAAACTGTGCAAAAACCCGATGAACAGGAACGAAATGGTTGGTTATTTCGGTTTGTATTTATGGACCGAAAATTATAATGCGAATTTTCTTTGGAAGTTTTTCACGCACATTTTATTGGGGGGTTGCTGCGATGAATGAAGTTTAATTAAGCGTATTGTTCGGCAAAAGTAAAGCGCCTCCGTTCAATGAATTTCAAATGAAATCGTTTGTACCAAATAAAAGTTATAATTACAAATCTAATTCTTCAATTGTGAATATTTATATGTAGTTAGAGAAGTCGTAAATAAAATTGGCCGTGTAATCGGAACAAGCACTAAATCCTGAAATAAATTATGTAGAAGAATTTAGTTACAACCGCTCGACGTGCTAAACTCAATATTTCTTCCTATCCAATAATGTTTTCATGATTGTTCGCTCCAGCTGCTCCTCGCTATCGATTAGTCCTTAGGTCGGGGCTAGGCTCGCAGGACCTTCCAGGATTCAGCATCGTCTGGCGGCCTCTTAATTCCGGCTAATTTATTCATTAAAAACCACTCGCATCCACACACAGACACACGGAGCCAGGCCACAGGCGCGGGCGGCGTTAAATTTACCCCGTAATCCCGCGAAACCGTCGGAGGAATTTCGCCGAGCGAAATCCGGCTTTTCGTCGGGTTCTCCTGTAAACTCTCCCGGCTGGCCCAGATTTCCTCTGGGAAGATTTATAGGGTCGAGGTTGCAATCAATCGATTCGCCGTCTTCGCAGAAGAAAAAAATAGCACTCTACATTTGTTGACAATAACATATTTCATTCAAATGAAAAAACAGTGAAAGTCTCTTATTATTTTTTTTATTTCCCATCCCGACATTATTTTCAGCTTAGATTAATCTTAGGGCGTTTTCTGTTCGCCTGGGACTCATTTATTAATTATCGTTTTTTTTTCCGTTTCGTAATTAAAAACCGTAAATACGGTCTTAAACGAGTCGAGCAATTAATGGAATTGAAATTAAAAAATACGCCGGAATTACATTGAAATCCACTTGACGCAAAAGCGTTTACATCAATTTAACTTTTGCAAAACTTGTTTCAACCTTTATTTACCCTCTTTATTTTCATTTAAATCAAGTCGTTCATTTTAGTACTCGAATTAATTAGAGAACACTTTAGTGGAGCAACGCAATTGGGCCACTTCTGACGTACTTTATATATTTTTTTTGTGTAATGTCACCTAAAGCGGAGATACGTGATTAAAAATAAACGTTTTTAAGGTTTTTGCGAAATATCCAATTAGATTCGGACGGAATCGATCAATTAAATTGGATATTTGCTTAGTTTTGTATCTTATCTAACGTTTATAGTATGTGCGTGAAAACAATGCGAATAACTATCTACTATTGCCCTAACATGTTTTTCCGCTATTCCGTAAATAAATAGTTTAAATTTGTTGTAAATTTATTTTATTTTATCGAATTAATTTACGTTGTAAAACGTACTGCAAATTTTATTTTCTATAAATTAATTAAATTTAATGTAATTGAATTTGTGCCAACTACTCTTGTTTGTTTAATTATGGAAATAGTATTTTGCTCTGCACTTATATGTACATAATTACTCATGTTTAATTAAGTAGCCTTTTGTTTTTGAAGCTGTACGTTCATTCATTTAATAAATATTTGCGGACTGCGTAATAGTTATCATGTGTTATGTATTAGTTGAAAAGTTATGTTTATAATGGTCTGAAGCATTTACAGGAATTTCTATTTATGAGTGAATAAAGCTGGACAAATTGATAACAGTTCTTGTTTTATTATTAAAAGTAAATATTGGATTTGTCTATTGATTTAGATAGTCTTCTTGAAGATACAGCCTAATAAAGTTTCGTTCATGAATTGTTTGGTTTTATTAATGTGATGGTATTTATTTATAAGAAGAACGTCTTGAACATCAGAGTTTTTTTGAGGGTGCTGAAATAGATTTAGTTCAGAACTTTTGTGGATTTTAGTTCATCAATAACTAGGTTTACTTTTTATCCTTCGCAGAGGATTGAATTGGTCTTTGTGGATGTGTGTTTTATCGTTTGATTTGGGGGATTGTGCCGTGCGCTTGCCCGCCCTCGGTGATGAAGTGTGCAAGTATCGCGCAGCATCCATCCCTTGTATGATTCAACCCCCATCTCGGCAGCCTCAGTGTTTCGCTCCCCTTGCGTGCATCTCCTCATTTCATACCGGTGTGTACATCCCCAAGTGTGTAAGTGGCGTCGCGACGGCGTAAAACGGCGCCCATTGTTCGATCCCTAGAATTAGTGTAGCACTGCCTCTCGCATCCACCAGAAGGGTTTCCTGCTCTTCTTCCATGCTGGCTGCTGGCTATCGTTTCATTGCTTTCGCGCCTACAGTAGCATGATTTTATGAGTTCCCTTTCTTCCTTCGAAGTCTGGTCATACCGAGGTGCGTGCCAGTGCAATAAGCTGGAGCCCGACCGCTGCTGGAACGGTCATCTCATGCTGACCCATAGCCACAGCGATGGCGAATTCCCCATATACAGTCAAGGTAATTCATATTTTATCATCGCCACATTACATTTAGGTCAGATCTATACAGTAAATTACGTCACGGGAGGACCCGTCCAATTTGCAACTAAATGATATTTAGTTCTTTTGCGAAAGGATCAATCCAGCTCTCCAACTACAAGAGCTTCATCAATACTTCACTCTCTGAATTATAGATACCTTCTCAAATGGGATTAGGCGACGAACATCCCCAGAATTGAAGCATTTACATGCTGTAATCTAACAGGAATAAGTATATTTGCATGAAAACTCGCGTTCGAAACTCCTTTTTTTTGTAGACTTAATCCCCAAAGGAAAAAGGGTTACAAACGGTCGAGATTACAATTACATTGTACGATAGTGGATTATGCGGAATGGTCCAATTTCGACTTTATCTTTTTAAAATTTATCGTGTCCGAATGTTGGGTTTTTTGGAGGGTGCTGTAGGACAACCGAAAGGGGTGTCACGTCCCGGTTCATATTACAATCTATTTATAACCCGCTCCGAGCTTAATTAGCGAAAGTAGTGTTGATAAATTAACCGAACTTAAATTCGCATCAATTAAGATAATTAACGACAATACAATTATCTCCGGATCTGCTGAAGTAATCAATTGATTGGACAATCAATACTGGCTTATGTAATTGCAAAACCTGGATATTCAGCATTGCTTACCTAACGAAGGGCTTTCGAATAATTGATTCGTAAACACTTAAGGGTTCCTTGTCACATGCATATGGTCGTCATTTGTTTACCAATTAACAGAACGCTTATCTTCAAAGGTACAGATTTGCATGTTAATACGACAATGAAATGTTTTAGTGCTTGATATTAATTCGAGTTTGAAGGCATTTTATCTGAACAGGCAAATGTAACAAGATACTTTCGTTTTAATTAATTGTTCACATCTAATTTAAGTTCCATATTGTACAGAGAAGGAAGTGTATCGTGAGGATGGTTTTGCGTGAATACTAGAAAACCTAGTTGTATTATTCTTTGCTTTATTTGTATGTAGTATTTTCCTTTCGTTAATTCCAGTTGGTATTTAGTACGAGCCGAAGCCAAACATAGAGCGGTGCAGCATTCCAGCCGATTACTTCATTGCACTGTTTCCGCTTAAGCTGTATGAAAAGCAGTGGCACTTTTACCGCAGTTTAAATATTATATAAAAGAATAAATAAAGCTAAATAATTACAGCGTGAACATTACAAAAAAAAGGTAAAGCCTATGCACACGAGTCATATTTTTTGTTGTTATTGTAATCTTGTGAGATTGCAGGCAGCTCATACTATCTTGGGTCAGATTAGATTAGGTGCGAACGAAGCGCGGGCGTTTAAAGTGTTTCGAGATTGTCGCGGTGCGAACATCGTGTGCGTTTTTTTTTTGTTATACACATTCACCTTCTTTGCTGCTGTTTCGTCCTTCCGGAAAACCACTTTTCCGGATGTCTTGCCGATGATGGGCTCCATTCGTAAGAAGTTGACTCGCTTTCTATCGCGCGAAGACTTAACCATCGTCGAAGAGAATCCATCCGGTAATTGTCCACGTTTTATCTTACGCTCGCCAGATTTAATCTAGCCTTCTTGGAAGTCCCATTCACACATCTGCTTGTCATTTGTCTTGATTCGCTCTCTTTTTTTTCTGTTCTTCTTCTCTTTATTAATAGACGCTGCTGCATCCAGTAATCAAGATTTGTTAGCGAAGCGTATTAATCTTGTTCTCGGAATATTAGCGTCAATTTCGCGTGTTATCAATGTTAACACAGTCAATAAAACCGGCGGATCTATTGTCCTGATAATGTAATTTAATTACAAGTGCCTAATATTTAGATTAGACTAGTTCGCTTCATATGAAATGAATTCCCAAAAGTAACAAAAAATCTCGTTCAGAGTAAAGTAATCGCAATGAAATGATTATATCTAAAGATCAGATTCATGTGCGAGAGTGCAAGGTTTACTAGACTGAAAGCAATTACTCTCGAGACAAGAATGTCTCATTGAATTAGATCTGGAACAAATCGAGCCTCGGCAATTTACTCTTTTTTTTTACGACCCTTTATTTTTATTTATTTGAATACAATACAATATTATTGTAATTGCATGCAACCTGTTCAGTTCTCAACCGAAAAGAAAGCAATTTCTTACAACGAATGTATTATTTTTGTAACATGCACCGCTACAAGTCGTTCTTTAATTTAAGTCATGTGAAAAGTTTCGTATGAAAGTAGAAACATTTTCTCCATGTCATTTTTTTTTACAAAAAACAACAAAGCCTACTGTGTTATGAGAGAATTGTAAATTTAACTTTTAACTATTTAAATAGTATTTTCTTTTGACATATTTTTCATAATACAGCGGAACCTCGCTTAACGAGCAAAATGAATTGTAAGAAAAATGACTTTCGATGTCTCGCATAACGAGTTATGATGAGAAGAGAAATCCCGCACGCCTGCTACATCATTTTTAAAACTTTTGTACACATATTATGTGTATTTTTGAATATGTTCACTATACGAGTAAAAATCCGGAAATTTTGGAACGGCTTAAACACGTTAAGCGAGGTTCCACTGTATTGAAGCTTTTTTAGTGGTTCAGAATTATATAGCAATTCCTCGCATTGTCTGTACAGTCCGTTTTTCAAATCGGATTATAGTGAATCCGGACTGATCGAAGCTATATTAGAGTATTGCTTTACATTGGACGTTAAAATATATAATTTCAGTGCATTCATGAATGTTAATTACAAGTTATAACGTAGTAGCAACGAGTTCTAATTTACGATTGACCGATGACATTGTAACATCCGAACAAATGCGCATTGTTCCGAATTCCCCCGCATTCATCATCTGAATAATAAACAATTTTTGTAAAAACGTTATAATTTATGTAATGGTTGTACTTTTAGTCAAAACATAATACTATTTCCGAGGAATAAAGGTATAATAATAATATGCAGATTAATGTAAAATTTCCATATTTTCCCATCTCAATTAATGGAGAATTATGCAGATACGAGCACTTCTTCTTGGCCACGCAACACGCGATTTCCTCCCGTATAAATCATTATTATTAGTTATCCAACATCCAGATAATTAAACGTTATCTCTCTCTATATTTTTTTATGTATATATTTTTTGATATCAACGTAGTATTAAAAAATATCGGCGTTTTGTCATTTAGAGTATATTCACTGGTTTCAAACGTAAATCTAGATTACGTGCAACCCTAGCCTGCTAGCGTAATTGACCAGTAAATGGTCTATCCCAAATTGCCAAATAAACTACGGTTAGTGTATTGTTTTTTGTTGGTGCGTCTGCACTACAGGCTTATCACGAAAATTACGTTCGCATCATTTTCAATTTCGATGCATTCGAATTGTTATTTGCAACTGTCATCTTAATGCAGAGACACCATCGTTCTTTCTCCATTCGCAAAACGAGAAACAGTATAAACTTTAATGAAGTTCCATGCTTGAACGATGTTCAATATATAATGTTGCTTTGAGCGTTTGGTTCATTTATCTGATCTACTTCATGTTCGGCTTTGCTGAAATACGTTTCGATCGTGTCGTTTTAATGTTTAAGGCAATTAATTAAGTCGTTCTTTAATGGAATTACTACATAAAGCGTTTTCCCCTTTGTGCTGAGTTTTGGTACATGTTTTTTTTTGTTACTCTTTCTCGGTTACGCGAATGTCTATCATCAGTGAGTAAAATCGGTTAACAGTTTTGTATGGATCGTTGGGTTATTGTCCGCTCTAAAAGCTCAAGAGAGACGCCGACGTCTTTATACTCGACGTCTCTGAAGTGGTGGACGTCGCCGTTGTTTTCTCTGATCAGGCCATTATGTACTCAGCCTCTAAGAGCCGAGTCTCCTTGCTTTTACTTTTCTTTTCATATTAATCTTTTTCTCTCTCTCCTATATATATATACATAAGCAGACATTTTCAGAAGCCCAAGTAGAAGCGCAAAATATAATTCCTAATTACTCCATTAACCTTTTTATATATAAAGAGTTAAGGACGAGTTTAAAAGTATTTTTAGTAACTGATACACACACCTATTGTTAATTATACCTCTTAAAAAATTGAAGACATTTTTTGATAGCTCTTCCATCTAATTCAAACTTTCTAAGTGTGAATAGTTAATAGTTGGCGGGCAACTGGTTGAGTTTATAAATTTTAAGAGAATAGCTGTTTTACTGATCAGTTTTATGAATGGGTTTGATGAATCTTTACGTAAAGTTCGGGTTGGGTTTTGGCGAATGGAGGAAGAACGTCGGTGACGTTAAAGATTTTATGTGCAATTACATGAGAGTTGCAGAATGCCAATTCCGCAAATAATTCCCAGAAATATAATCAAACGTCGTAATGCTTTTTTGGAAATAAATCTCTAGTCTAGTCGTAACTATTTATAACCAGAAACCGCTGCGGCGTTAATCAATATACACTTTAGCTCATCCAGTCAGTTATCATTGTTTGTTTGTTTTTTACTGCTGTATTCTCTCAATGCGATTTTGAATTTGTAGCTTATACGAATTGAATTTTAGACATCTCTGAAAGCGTTTATTATACTTAGGATTCTAGGAATATCTTTAGGAATAAGTATAAGTGTAGGGAACGCTATAAATCAGCAAGATTTGAAGTGTACGACAAACTACATAGGCTTCATCTTGCACTTGAAATGATACCTGGTTATCTTCTATAAGATGTTACAGCAGAGTTTCTTAACCTTTTTGTAGTGTGACCCAACATATTTTTTTTGTATTTGTACAGCTACCCAATTACTAAGAGTATTTCGCAAGTTCCTTGCCTTGATATAAGGTGATAGCTGTCATTTGCAATTCATAGTTTGAAAAACACTGTTATAGCTAAATATAGCACCTGAAAATGAGATCAAATGGAAGTCCAGCGTAATGAAAGAAAACAGTAGTATAAAATTCTTTGACTTAAAAAGTAACACTAATATTGACGCTGAAAAAAGTATAAAGCAGAATGCAAACAAGTTAGTATAAGCTGAAAGAGAATAATTATAATGAACAACCTAAAATGAAATGATTAATTAATAACATGTATACAAATTAAACCTGTACGTGAAAAGAAGATTAATGAGATAGTGGCACGAATATTGAATCGGTCGCGGATCGTGCAAATGAATCACGTTCATATAATCTGTGGTTTCGTATTAAGATAACCGAAGTTATGAAAAAATGCGATAGATAACTAAGGGCTATAGCAAATTGCATTTTACCTTCTATAAAAAGTTGCTCAATCGGACTTTAACTAATTGTAATCAAATGTTATGGTTTACGAATGATACAATGGAATGAATCTAACGTAAATAGTAAAAGACAGCCCTATTAGTTTGAGATGTATTTGCTATGTTGTTCTGTAGTTTGATCCATCTCTGAAGTGCCCGACGCAGCAAGACCTGAATCCCCAAAAGGGAAAAGGATGAACGTAACAGTCCAGAGGTGAAGTTTATCTTCAGAAAGTAAACACGTGGGAATACGTTAGATTCCCACATGGATTAGTACAACATTCGTTGGTAAGGAATCGTTGGAAATCATATAATAACTCCAATCCGATTTGGAGCAAGAAATCTTCCAACGATCATTCCATTAACCAAAAAGTTATGCTATAGTTTCATTCAGAAGAAAAGAAATGTTAGAAGAATTTAAATTGTTAAAATATTAATTAATAGTATGAAGGTATTTGTGAAATTAAAAATGATCCCTATTCTTGCTGTAGGCAAATGGTATCCAGTGCGAAATTTTTGAGTCGACGCCAGACCTAGCAAGATATAAAATAAGTTTATGAGCTAGTCGCAAATTATGACTGCCAAGGATGCGTTTTGTAATTTATCCCTGTGGTCAAATTTAGCCTAGCTGCCTTCTCCGAAATCACGCACGTAATGCCCCTAGAAATTCGCATGCCGATATACACAATCATCTTTTGTAACTGGTCATCATTCCAATTATCCTTATATGTACTCTCATCTCTTTATATTCTAGAAACTATGTAGGTTTTGACTTGAATTCAAAAATATCAAATATTAATAAGAATATACCGGAATTTATAAAATGTATAAAATATAAGAAAAAGTCTAAAGTCCGTTTGTTATGCAACAGAAAATAAACAGATAAAGTTAAAAAAAAACCTGTTTTTTTTTTCGCTATTTATTTCGGAAATAAACGTGGATTTTGGCGGTCCATCAAATCCCATTTTTATTTATAATTTTTGTTAAAAGCATGCATTATTTGTTTTAAAATTAGTTCAACAACGGGAGGATCGAAAAAATACAGGATCTACAAAATTTCACACGTTCAGCATATAATGATTTCAGTACTGAAAACTTATGAAAAATATTAGAAGCTATACAGTTTGAATATCTAGAAAAAATTGTAAATCGAAATTTTAACTTTTTTAATATAAAACCGCAAATATGCAAAAAAAAAGAATAATTTCGTTGTTTATTAATTATGATTTTTTTCTTTTGATGTCCTTTTGATTTAAATAAAAAAAAATTAAACAAGTAAAAGCGAAAACTTTAAAAAAAAAAAGTAAAATGGTTATTTTCAATATTTATATTTTTAAACCGTGTAAAAGCGAAAACGTGTAAAGAAAGTACCGAGTAAAACGAGGGATTGGTGTATTGTTGACATACGACCATTATCACTTACGCACATCAGTACATATTACAATTTTATAATATTTTTTGATTTCGACTTATGATCATTCAACTAACGTCCAAGTTTGCAGAACAGAATTAGCAAATTAATAATATTTAGAATTTGATATTCGTAACCTATGCGCTGAATCTAAGGGTTAAAATCTGTGTTGGGAATAGCAAGCATAATAATATGAATATTAATATATTTAGAGATCAAGCAGAATCCTACATCTGCAACGTTGCTTTGTGAAAGTGTTTCAACTATGTCAAAGCGTGGAAGGACCCTTGTGGCATTTTATTTATTTTATTTTAATAATTTGTTTATTGCTGATTATAATCTTCATTGTTTTACTTGAAATAAATGTTCATAGTTTCAAGTTGATGCATAAATATTTCAATTCTGTTTATTTTGTTATTTAAAAGCAATATAATTACTGAATTTTCATCTGTAGACAAAACTGTTGAATTGCTGTGCATATATCTGAGGGTACAAAAGAAAGTCTGTGTTTATTTTTCAGATATGATTTCATGATAGATTAAGTTGTTAATGTCATTGGTTGTTTCAGGTACGTGCAGTGATGAATTACCTCCTTTAGATGGTGAGTTTTCCCTTTTAATTTCTATTACAACTATGTTTCGCGTGTATGAAATTACAAATAACTGTGACGAACTCCTCTGAGTGAGCGAGCGAGCGAGTGAACGAGCCTGGGAGTCCTCTTTTTGTTGTTGTTATCCGTTTCTATTCGCGTCATAATTATTATTTCGCAACGGGAAAGATAATGCGAGCGTATGAATGCAGCAGAATAAATCGCGCGGATGTTGTGCCAGGTGATTAATAATTTACGGCCGTATACTTTCAGTTTCATTCATAATTTCTATGGACAATGGCGGGACGTGCTTTAGCCTATAGAATTTCAGTTGAACGAAAGCGAGCCACCGTTTCATATATATATATATACACACACACACAGTACACACGACAATATTTACCATTGGAAAGAAGACATGAAAGAAATAACGAGTATTCCCACAGGTTTCCAAAATAATAGCGACCGCTTTGTTATTTCATACAGATGCAGAATGAAACGCGTGTTGGTTACGATACGTGGGTGGGCGAATTTCGGATGAGGTATTAAATGGACAATTAATGGTTGTTACGTCAGAGGAACGCGAAAGCTCGTATTCGTTCGAGTACGCGCGCTTTCGCGAACGGAAAGTGAAAAGTTCATTTTTCAATCGGCGTGTCCGAAATGTTGCTTCTTGCTATTTATATACACGGAATGCGTTCGCTAGGTCAATGCCAGACTTTCATAAACATGCATGAAAATTAAAATCAGTAACTAAAAAAACAAACATTCCATACTTTGCGTTTCTTTATGGTTAATACAAGCTACTAGCAACGCAACTAAGAAAGCTTGTGACAAAGAAAGTCGTTTACTAAAGTAGTTCTATATTGTGTAAGTTTTAAAACATTGATGTACGATTTAAGCGTTTTCATAATTAGGTATTAGAAACGTAATTCTTTCATTTGCGAAACGTCCAGTTGGAATTGGAGCCAGGAGTCTTGAACAATGTAATTCCAGCCTCTGGGATACAACAATGTGTTTGTATATTTGTAGCTTGATTGAATGAACGGGGCAGCGTTGAGTAATTGGTTGCAATTGAACCTAATTCAATTGTCTGCTACTCTTCGCAACGCTCCTCCTCATCTCAGGACGATGATGCGTATCGCCGTCATCATGATCTTCATCATTACAACCATCAGAAGCAGCAGCTATCGGCATCATCTCGAGCTACGCTCTCTCTCTCATTCTTAATCACCTCATCCATTGTTGCTAGATCTGTGTGCGAAACTCGTGGCACAATGGAGCGAAATTTCCATTCAAATAAAATACGTTCGCATCGTTAAAATGCAGAGTTTATATTATACATCTTAAATAAATATATATATAATAGGAAAGAGATTTATTGCGCAACATGGGTTGCAGAAGTTACCGTCTCAGCAGTAATAAAACATTTTTTGACAATCGTTTTTCCATATTTATTTATTACCTTTTACAAAACTTTTTAAACTTAGTTGGAAACTTCCACAACAAAATATATGTACGAAATGTATTTCAAGCTAACTTATAATTGTAACTTACACATGTGACTCTTTATATATTGCAGTCCGATAATGATTCATATTTAATACGATTAAGTAAAATCACATTGTGATGTGATGATTATTATGTAATTGGCAACTTGTACAAGTATTTGTAGCATGTTAACAACTTAATAATATGAAATATTTATTAATTTATCCTGACATGTTTGCGAATAATAAATGTTACTATGGTTACTTGCGTAAACATAATTAGTTACCAGAGTATTAAACACATACAAATTAATTAGTTAAAATAATAATTATCAAAAATATGAATAAATAAATATGTGTTTGATTGAAAAACTGAATGTTATTTGTGTTGATTGTACTTATTGTCGATTGTGAAAACGAAAACACACATAATAAATATTACCGTTGAATAGGCCGCATTTTTTTTTGCATTTCATATTCCGAAATGAATAATGGCTAATAAATCTTGCGAGTCGAAATTTATTACGACGTTTTCTATAATGGACGCCACAGAAGAAGAAAAAAAATCGACGAACAATGGTTATAATCGACGGCCAATTTTTCTTTCCGTTGATTTGAAAAGGGAAAAATGAAAGTTCAGCTTTTAATTGATTCTACTTAAAGAGTTGCTATCAAGAACACCGAAGTTGAATGCAATTTGAAAAAATTGCAAGAAATGTAATGGAAGTTGACTTATTATTTACTTTCGAATGTATTAATTAAGTTAACAGGAAAGTTTTAATTGTGATTTGGTGGATCTCTGGTGTCAGAGTTGCTAATAATAAAAAAAACAATACGTGCAATTACAATCCAATCTATTTTCTTTGCATGCTCCATGACTGTAAAAGATTGTTAATGACCATCGCTGTCATTAATTTTCCACGAGGGATAGCAGCAATCTGAACAACGAAGATAAGGCGCGCGCTAATGAGTGCATGAAGTGCAATCAAAAGCCGTTATGCCATTTTCCTTGTATCATCCGGAATCGAAATTATTTGAATATTTGCAGATCGATAAATTTCGTTTGGAACGCTTCTGCGCACCTGAATTATTCAGAAAATGTGCTTTTTAGGGGCGTCGCGACGCCAACCAACTCAACCCATCTAACGGATATTAATAAGCCCGGGGGTGAACGTTCGCTTCCGTTATTCCAATCCTAATGGTCAATTTTCCTCCAGTTTTCCTTTTTATACCCTCCGTCTCGACCATTCATCAACTTTCCACCAATCCAATCTTTGCTTACGCGAAACGCCCGAAGTCTCGATCATATTTCGTTTATATCGTTGAAGAAAATAAGCGACTACTACATGTTTCTCTTCTTAACGCCTTCGAAAGAGTCAATCCCAACTTTCCGCTTTGTTTCTAAATTCGTCATCGGCGCAAAGTTTTCCCCGAAAAGTGTTTGTGTGCGGGATTTTCTTTTATCATTGCGTGTCTCTCGATGCTTCTTTTGCTGCGGTGGTGGCAGCAGCCAGAAACTCAATGAAACTTTTGCCCAAATGATTTTCCCCCCTCAATGTCGGGGGGTTTTCCAGAAGGAAAAAAAAAACTCGCAGCATCAGAGCGGAGGCACCAGGACGAATCGATTTTCAGTCCCTCCATCCACTCACACATACCCAAAACAGACGTGCATATACACACATACTCATGCAGACACGGCAAGCCTCAAATTAAATGTGCGACCGAAAATCCAATGTTTAATTGTTTAATTACTTTATTTACCGGTCGAATTAACGCGAAACGACGATTCCAATTTGAGCGTCGTTTGCGGATACGTTTTTGGCTCCAAAAACAAAACGGCCTTTTGTAATTCGATCCCAAAAAAAAAATAACACGTGGTCTTCACGTCCTTTCTGGCAGCTTTTTAAGTACAGTCCAGATGCATTCATTCGAGCCGCATTGGTTCTTACAATTACCAACATATAAGGAAGCTTGCTAAACCAGATTCGCTAGGTTTTTACACTTGGTTTCGCTTCTCGTTGTCAGCCAGCTCTAAAGAATGAATGATAGAAAGGACTTAATGTTTAATCGAAAGTGAATTCGCAATTATATAATAAATATAACGCTGAAAAACATTGAAAAAAAGTTGATTAAAATTATTTGGGTTATCAATATTAATTATTATTTTATTGCGGTTTTTAAACAATTTCCAGTAATTCCATATTGAGGACAACAATTTTTTTATTTTATTTACAAAAAAAAGCGATTTGTAGCGATTCTGTGGTCAGAGTTTTTCCCGGAGTTGAAGTGCGCTTCGTCTTTGTTTTTCTGGTGTGCATGTGTGTACGTCTTTTGTTTCCCAAGAGATTGCTATTTATCTTCTATTCGAAACCAGAATATGTAAAGTAGACCGGGAAATCCGGTTTCCTTATTCAATTTGCATCGAGGAAAACACGACAGACGCGAGTTTTTGAAATATTTTATTTCCCATCGATGCGCGGAAAAATCGCATCCGAATTATTCATATCTCAAAGCGAAGAAGCGTCGTTTGTATGTACAGTAAAAGACATTCACTTCAGTTGCTGACATGGATTTATATATTTGACATAATTCGTAATTTGAAATATATTTTTAAAAAAAGGTATATTTAAAGAAATTTACGAATTCGGATAATGCCTGTAAAATTCTAGTTCTGGCCATCAGATTACGTTTTAGTCAAATATGCAGTAAAACTAAAATGAGTGATGAAATGTTTAGTTCTGAGTATTTTATTTCTGGTATTTCCCGAATTTGCTTACAGAATCCAACCGATTGTATGAATACCTGTGTTTTATAAATGAGAATTTAATGTATTCAAAAAATGATGATATAACAAAATGAATGTGTTCGATAAGTAAGTTGACCCAATTATAAATTGTAATTTGCTGTGTTGAAGCGAAAATTACAGAGGAAAGGATAATGAATGTGAAAGAGGAGGAATTTGCAAAATTGAAGACAATCCAATCGTTTTATAATCCTCATTTTGTTTTGCTTCTTTATAATAATTAAAGTCGTTAATGTTGAGTCACCATCTGGTTCATTGGAAACTGATATTTATTGCAACCCGATTTGTTTATATTTAGTTATAGATGTTGTGGCTACGCGTTTCATTGCAATGATGTTTACATAATTTTCAAGTAAACGAAGCAAATTTTGTTTAATTATGTGTGCATCTGAGATAAACGAGAGAAGGAAATCCCAACTTCTATATAAAATCTTTGTAATTATTACTTTAGAATTGAAATTTACTGCTTGAAATTGTAATAATAAAAAATACCCGCTGCGTTTTATGGGCGTTTTACAGCTTTGAGCGCGTTAAGGGCACGTCCATATGATTAATTATAGTTTTTGGTTCGAAGTCGTGTAACTTTGCCAGACGAACAAAGAAGCTTTTGACCAACGTCTGGGATTTGAATATATATATCCAACAGCGCCCTCCTTTGTAAATGTTACAACCAGAAGGTGTTTTTTTACACTTGGGGTATTTGCAGGATTCCAGGAATGTATTTGTATATAACATTTAATGTCTATTCTTTTTTTTTTTGTATTAAGGAAACTGCAGAGCTATAGTGTATGTTAAGGACACATTTTAATAGATACTTATTATGGGGAATTAATGGAAAATAGTACGTTGAATAGCTTTGAGCGTATTTGTAACAGAAATACTAGTTAATTACAGAATTGCCTTGATATGAGCGTATATAACTTGTAATCATTATTAGATGAATGGTATACAAAATATATTATAGGATCGGTGATATTAGTTAACAACAAACTGGTAAATCCTAATAATCATACCATGAGTGTACCCAACTTGTAAGCATCGAATAGATGACAAAACAACCACAGATTTTACGTGTTGGCAATTGTCTGGAAGTGTTGGATGAATCTTTTAAGCTAAATATTGGATATAACGTTTATATTATATTATAGAATTTAACGGTTGTATAAATCAGCGTTTCACAAATTTTTTGGTCTTCTACGTCTAGAAAAACATGCCGAATTGATCTGTCATCAAATTTTCTGCGACCCGCACTTTGAGAAGCACTGATATAATTAATTGTATTTGAAAATTTTAACTGATGTTAAATTCAACTGTTTTCTTATTCTCATATTATTTAATTTTTAATTGTAATGAAAAATGCTATATTGTATTGGATTTTTTTTTATGATGTGATCACTGCAGGGTTTAGTTGCTCTTTAGTGAAAGTGATCTATGTTGAAGATGACTCTTGCTTTGTTTATATTTCGCAAGGTCGCTTTTATCCTCAGTTATACGATGTGACCATGAGGTTTAGAATAAAAAAAAACAATTCTAAGTCTTCTTCGGATAATTTTAATTTGCTCAAGTTAACGACTTATTAGCATATCACATTCTCGCCGTCTTATTTATAGTCATACATCAAGTAAGAAGTACAAAGCTGTGGATACTAAAAATAGAACGCGTGTCGAACGTGTGTGGTTCCATAAATCCTGTTCCTCAAATAAATATACCTGCATGAAGGTGGAACCACCACTAGGTAGATGATGTTCCACCTGCACAGTTACTCGTGTATAAATATATATAGAGAGAGAGAGAGAGAGAGTGAGAGGATAGTGGGCAAACCCTAATGCGTTTGTAAAGGGCATTGTTTGCTATCGACCGGGTTGGGCCCTTCCTGAACCAACCGACAATACAGGAGTGTTTTTCAGCGTGGGCCCTCGGCCGAAGACGCGTTACTTGCATTCCGTTAGGGTTGCAGGCCTATCACCATAGTTACCTCGGCCCTAACCGTCGTCAAGTGCACGTCGGGTGTTTGTCTCCTCTCCGTCGTCGCCGATCGGGCCCGATGCACAGGAAAAGAACAAATCCACGTCGCTCGGGCCGACTCGTCGGATCATTGGAATGTAACTTCTCTCCTATACGGACACCACAAACTCAGTCAAACTCAGTTGTGCATTGTCCGTTGGTCGGGAAGTTCACGTTCATAGTTACCGTCCAATAGCAGCAGTAGCTGCACGGTATAGCAGCATACGCGCGTGTTCAGTTTTTGTTTTCTTCCCATCCAGTAACTTATTGTAGCCTCCGGCGCGATGCTTTCTTGCTGCATCCTCCGGCTGCAAAGAAGAACCTCAGTGTTTTGCTAGTGCTTGTTACATGAAATAGTATATAATATTCAGTGGTCGCGGAGGTATATATCAATTTTTAATTCCTATGCATTCTAGATGATGTTCTTTCAAACTGAAAAAGAAACCACCTGCTTGCTACACGCGCGCTCTCGCAACCGTAACTTCTTATTCTTCTTTAACGAAACCGGCAACATTTTCCGGCCAATTCTCTGTTTCGTTTGGAGCGTTGAACCCATGTTTCCCATAACACCCGATCAATCTGTTTACCATTAGTTCTAATCGGAAAAAGAATTTTTAATCATCCATTACCATTTCCAAGAAACGCTAAACATTGGCGCCATTGTAATATACGACTTCTAATTACTCGGAAAAACAAATTGATTAAGAAGCGAGATGTTAAATCCACCTATTTTTAGTAGTATTTCCTCGACCCGAGAGGCGTTTCTCTTGCACAAGTTTATCTATACAATAACTCGAGATGATTAACTCGAAAACAACCATAACAATTTTAATTAAATAAATATTATACAGTATAATTTCATAATCGATTGCGTTGCATCAATTTCTCAAATTCTTAATTTTACTTTCGTTGCAATTAATAAGCATAAATAATAAACACTGAATGATTGAATTTCATTAATATTTTAGTTAACTTGTTTTTAACATTTGCTTATTTTTTGTGTGGTGTTTATTCATATATTGCGTTATTTTAATTAAATATTATACAGTTTATGAACTAATAATTACATAATGAAGCGTGCAGAAGATACGTAAATATTGAGCGCACGCTGAAACCCACATTTAATTACATAATCGATTGCGTTGCAATAATTTGACACATCCTCAACTTTTCGTTCGCTGCAATATATAACATAAACAATATTATAAACAATGATTGATTGAATTTCATTAATATTTTACACGAAATAAATGTAAATAATAATAGTAGAATTCATGTTTTACTTCAGTTAACTTTTTTTTAAAATGGTTTTATTCAGTTTGTTTATTTTTTCTGTATATGCTAGCATTGAAATGTTTGTATCTGATTGAAATCCAAATATTTTGAAAGCTTAATAATAACAATATTTATTGAAACAATTATACAATAATGTAAACGATAATAAAACAAACACAAATCCGCTATTAGTAAATTAATTTTAAATAATTGTCTCTTAATATTGCGTTTTTTTCTCTATAATATTAGCATATTTAAATATAATAGTTAATCTATGTAAGTAGTAAACAAATTGTAATTGCTAATGGAAAATGGGAATGTTTAATGCAAGTTTTTTTTTTGTTTTGAATGTCGTTGGGTGATACTAAAAATTCAAGGTTCTAACATCTGAAGTTACCCGTCAATTAATTCTCGAGCCGGATGTTCGCTTGAATGCGAGAAGCAAACAATACGTTATTTTTGTTCTTTAATAGAAGAATTACATGTTGATTTTGTGTGATAATAAAGGCACGTAATTTATTTAATCAAATAGTAAATATGTAAAGATATTATTAGTTATTTTAAATAATATTCAAAGTAATGCCTCGAGTTAAAAAGGAGAAAATTAATAAGTCGACTGCAGTAAATGGTGAAAACGCAATTAAAGGGCAATTAGCACGAATTGAGCTAACAGAAAAAGCAAAGTTTTCAAATGTATCTTTATATATATTATGGAATTTCTTTTGCAAGGAAACGAAGCTAATTTATTGTATGTTATTTTTTTATTCGTGTTTATGTAACTGGGTATATATTTGTGCGATTTAATTAAATTCCTTTTGACTTTTCTCATTGCATTACTCGGGGAGATTAGATTTCTTGCTTTTTATTTGTAGCGACGGTCCTCGACATTTAATTAAAGAACAAAATAGTATGGAATGGGATCAGTAGATTTATATTCAATTGTTTTTAACAACAAAATATCAATTTGTTTATCAATGCTTTTTCATTTTTGATGTAGAATATGAAATAAACGCTGTATCGATGCATCATGTTTATTTTCATTTAATGTCGTATAGTCGTTGTAATGGAAGTGGAGATAAAGTGCTCTGGTACTGTTCTCTTGGACAGGATAAATGTAGTTTATGTTAAATGCGTGGGTGTTGAATAGCGTAGAGTAGAATGGGATTGGACATGGGTTTAAAAGAGCGACGCTGCATACACATTTGCAGGCAGCAGCATCATTCCTGAATGAATGCGAGGTTTAAATAAGGCGAAATGTAATGTGTAGTTCGGTTTTATAAATATCCGTGTTTCTATTTAAAAATTTCGTCGCCGCCGCGTGAGACGCCCATAAAGCGATGCGATCGTAGCCGGAGGTGGTTTCTTTCTGGTTGCATTTACCACGTGGTTTATTAGTTAGTTTATTGTTGTTTGTTTGTTAGTGATGTCGGTTCATGTGAGCGGCGTCTATCTTGTGCCCGCTCAGATGTTGCCCCCCGTCCAAGATAAGGGCGTCGCGGCGCCAGCGAGCGTCGCGAAAACGAAATCGGTTGCCATAGTAGCGCCGCAGAGGAGTAACAGCTTGGATTATCTCAACTTCGAGGAGAAGAGGCAGCTGATAGCCTCGTCGCTCTCCCTTTCCGATTTCATCCACGTCTCCGGCGCAAACACCAAGGATATCAAAGATGGTGTCACAACAGTGATAGTCGGTAAGAAGCCAGGCATCAACCGCAAAACTTTTCACATAATTAAACAATAACTTACCAAAAATATCTTCTCTATAAACCAGTTGTTTCATCCTCTCTCATGTCTAATCCTCTAATCCCTTACCTTTTCCATTACCACAACTTCCAATTCTATATATAAAGAATGTTACAATAAAGTAAACTTTCATAAATTTAACGCGAGCAGTTAAGATCTTTGCTCCAGATGGACCGAAGTTAATGGAGTATACCTATATATAGGCAAATGCGCAGAATGGCCCTAAGGGGTTTGGCCAAGCGTTTGCATAATTTGTCTGTACACCCACCACCCACGTTAAATATTTTTTTTCTTGAGCGAACCAAAAAATGTTGTATCGGTTACAAACCTATATTTGAATTGCGGTTACGACCGATGCATAAGTTACAGCAACACAACGTATTCATGAATTGCTTCGACCCTAATCATTCGCATTTCATCACCCCGAACGAAAAAGAAAAGAAGCATGAATGTTTAATTCGTAGCAATTTCCCATCCATCCCGAAATAAAAAGGATGGGCTCGTTTTATTGCCACCTTCATCACTGGTCCCCAATTTTTTACCGTCATTTCCAAGGAAGGGCCGATTCCTTAAGTCCCTTTCACCCCAACTTTTCTTAAATTGACGATAATAAATCTTTCAAGATTTGTAACAAAAATGATGCTCCAATCTCCTTTTGGTACAGTTGCTGGGAGTAGAGGAATTTGAAAAACGCAGTAAATTTTAAACGACCGTGGTTAATGCATGCGGATATTTATTTAAAGTCTTCGCAAGAAGCGTAAAATTGAAAGATCAAATGGGAAGGAAAATGGGAATACCATTAAATTTCTATTTGTTCCTTTCCTTCCGCATCTCTCGCCGCTTATTCTTTTAAAAATTCTGCTGAAAGCAAAACGATTTTGTCTCTTGTGTCATCTAGAAACCGAGCATCTCTCTTTCTATTACATACATGTTTTTTTTCATCTTCCACACTTTCATATCTCGCTTTGTGCATCGCATTTCTTGTATTGATCTTTCGCACTTGACTCCACCGACGCTCCTTCGATCTCTTCATTTCCCACTGCACACAAATAAACCGTTCGTCTTAACACTTCGGATTTTACCCGAGGGTACGTCTATTCATAAGAGAGCTCGATAAAAAGGATTTTTATTTATTTTTCCTGCGGAGAAAGGAACAAATAAAAGATGGTAAATGTTTAAATATTTATACGTGCAATGCGCGTCCTTGTCCTCGACACATATGAACGCTATTTCAAATTGCATGTAAAATTCTTCTGGGCTTCAATCCAAAATATTTGGCTATCGGCTTTGTTGATTATTTATAAATCTTGTTCTGTTTGAAATTTTCCTGCGGGTATAAATACCCGGCCGCGGAATGTACCAGCCACGGTCACTGGACCCCAGGGACCGAACTTCGTCGAGGTCGTATCTTCAGGTCTAATTTTGGGGCTTAGAAACAACCCCAACGTTTTGCCGATTTCGCACACGTACCTAATATTTTTCATTGAATTAAATCCGCTTTGAGTTCTCTAAACACGTACACCGTACCACGGTCCACGTCATACCAAGATTAATTCGAGACCATCTCGAAATGTATCTTCTAAAGAACTACGTGCTATTTATCCGCTCCGCTCAGAAAACGAAATAAATTCAACAATATGTGTACTTTACTGGAAATAATTATCGTTATCGAATCGTTTCTTTAATGGCACTTCTACGTGAGCTTTTGGAATTGCGCGGTATCAGTGAATGTTAACAACAATGCAAATAGCGCGCGATGATACGCAGCGATGCAAGACCATTCTTGTTGCAACAGCATTATGATAACATTGAAACATAAAAAATAAATATATACATGTTAGGGCATTCGGTTATGCGATGCAATGCTAGCAATAAAGACGACGAGAATGATAATAGAAGCGGCGGAAACAAAGATTTCTCTCCACTACCAATTAAATGGAGAGATGCGGATAGAGGAGTAAAGGTCTCGCATCGACGACCATCACGGTCAGTTCTTGCACATCCATCCATCCACATTGAACGCGCCGCGACGAATTGCTAATGAACTAGTTTCATCGGACGGATGGCGGAACAAAATTATTATTAACGCAGGGATTAGTTCCTAGCCTTTTCACATCCCTATCTTCCTGATTGTGATCAGGTGCACTCCCATGCCACATTATCCATTGTTCAAAGGCTTCTCTTTTTACCCATTCACACATAATTTATGATCTGCGAAGACCTTATTTCAACACAGCAGACCAAATGTAATGTTTTTTAATAGCAATTTCAGCAAAGAAGTGTATTTCAAAGAACAAGTTATTTCATAAATCTAGAAAAAAGTTATAATATTTTACCTGTATATACCTCATACTTTATATTATATAAAGTTATTTTAAATAATATATATGTAATGTATAATATAAAAGTTTAAAATAGTATAAATTTACAATAACCTAAATATTATAATTTTTAACCCAAACATGTAGAAAGTGTTAGTTAACTATTCATATTTAGCTACATAACAAAACAATTGTGTTTGTATTAAATTATACACTTGGATAGTTTACAAATAACTTGAATGGCGTTGCGAATGTTTTGTATCTGGTAATCTGATATAAATATGCACAGAATGGTTATCATAATAATGAAGAAGTATGAACATAATTATATGTGAACTATAGTTTTCAAAAAAACGTTACTTTTTATGCAATCTGCGTTATAAAAAATAATTAAAATTTAAACGCTTCTACGTAGAAACGTTCTTCCCTAATTTCATTGTGGAATACAAAGACCCGATGGATTATTAAAATAAATTCCCATAAGTTAATTGCGTAATAGTTAAGAATAATTACTCGTTTTTTTTTCATTATTTTCTTCTCAAACATCATGGGATCGTATTTGTTTCCTTGCCTTTCCAGAACAATGATATAAATAACAATATTTGGGATCCGTTACGAAACAATTATGCTTTCGTTTTTTATTTATTTAATACTTCAATTGCATAAATATCTCACCTTTGTTTTCGCTTTCGATGAATCATTGTTAATTTTTGCATTACGTTTCAAATAAATCGAATCAGAAACTAAAAGATTTAGAGAAAGAGAAAAAAAAATGATGGTAGTTTTCCATGCATAACATCCAATCATTAAATTATTTTGCCAGATTACCGTTTAATATTATGCAACGCCTTCGGAAGTAGTAATATATTTTGCTTTGCAGGCGTCGGTTATTACTATTTTTCGCTGTGTCTTACCTATATGTATATTTTTTTCTATTTTGCGTTCTATTTTATGCAGCAGCAATTCAATTATGTTTTAATCTCTTGATGTTAGAGGGCTGCGACACGCTGCACGAAGGCTTTTAGAATAACTCTTGACAGTTGCCTTTCTCTTCCGGGAGCATTTCCTTCAAATAGATCTCTCGTTTGCAGTTGACAAACGTTTCCACTTGACATCTCTTTCTTTAGTTATCACCAGCTCATGGACAATGCGTTCGTTTTGCTCAAAACTACGGAATATTACTGATTTAGAGCTTCGAAGTTGTTGCTGCGAGACAGCTTTGAGAGTTGTGGTTTGCTATATTGGGAAGGAAGCTACTTCTCTATTTAAAGGATGAATTTCAATTTTTGTGTCACACGTATTTGGGCACGATTGATTCACATGTTTACCACATGGATTGGATAATTTCAGTGCGTAAATAACTATCGTGGCTAATGAAATAAATAGCATTAGGTATTCCAGTGATGGCCTGCATACGGATACGGCGTCTCCATTATTGTTTTCTCTGGCGTATGCGCAATTAAATGCACGTATTCCAATTTTACCTTGAATCCATGCAGGGATTTGTGTACAGTATGTTGGTATTATTTGTACGATGATTTGGATATTTCAGTTCATCCTTTTACATAACAACAACTTAACAACTCTGCAAGGGAATTTTCGAAACGATTACTCACATCGCCACCAATTACACTCAATTGTGCCAAGTAATTCCGAATGCACGAAGCAGGCAAGGTCAAAAAATTAAACGGATTTAAATGTTAAATAATGACCCTCTTCTCTATATGTTTATCATTGCGATTCACTAACCCCACCTACCTAAGCTTTTAGTGTAATTACAAGAACAACAAAACACGATTTTAATTTCTCCTTTTTTGTTTTCGTGCGTTTTGTGTGATCGTGACGCGACGGCACACGGATAAAACTATTTCTGGATTTATGTTAATAATAATTTACAGTAATGTTTCTCGCTCGGAATTGAATTTTATTGTGGGTAATGACATGTAATTCATGCGTAAGACCACCACGCACCGAACCGTAATTGCAACAATTAATAATGCGCTGACATTTATTGCTCGACATTTGCTTTAGATCACAATTACGTCTTTCACATGTTCGTAATTAGTGATTTGCTATAATTACCACCTGGTTGTTTGACTTTCAAGGGTTGCTCGGCGAGGAATGCCAAGGATTTGCCCATCACTAAAATTAAACTGTTCCCATTTTTTTTTGTCGGGCGCCAAGGAAACAAAACAAACTGATGTATTTTATAACATAATTTCTTCAATGCCAGAGAGAACACTCAGAAAATCAGTTGGAGAAGATTGATGAACGCTCGGAATACTAAATACTTGTCTTCGAGGATTTTAAGTTGTATTTACAATAGCTATTAATTCCATATAAAAATGTAGTTCCAGGAAATCTTATTCATCGCTTTTTTTATAAAAATATTTTCAAATCGTTATTTATTACTTAAATATTCAAATGGAAATTCCTGAGGATTATTTTCGTCGATCTCATCATAAATAATAAGAAATTATCGACTGAAACCTGATTTCCAATTAAGTAATGTTGTACTGAAAAGAAAAGAAAACTGGGTAAAATGTAAACGCTTGTATAGGCATAACAACCATCGAAGCGTATCTAGAAAACAACAAAATATTACATATACACTAGGTGGTGTATTT